AACTGTCACATTCGACGACAAATTATTTTATAATCGTCCTTGTCTTGTTTGAAATGTCTTGAAAATAAGTAATAAAAAATTGCAATATACAAGCGATAGCTCTTAGGGTTATTCAGGCTTACCACTCATTGATATAATACTCAAATGGCTGGAGGGAGACCCTATTTTTTGCTGAGGAATTTTTTTTCTAAAATATACTTCAACAAAAAAAATTCTCTTGAAAAATTATCTTAGGGACGCGTCTCGTCTGATATTCGTTAGTAGTCAAAGGGAAGTAAATGCCCTAAATGAATTATCATTTTTGTCGAGAAATGAAACTGAATTCAAGTTTGTTGCGATTAAGGTTGCATATATTTATATTGTGTTATTTGAGTATAATATAACATTTTTTTTTTAATTACTATCTAATTATCTATGTCAGTGAGTTCGGCATTGCCAATACAGGGGTAGATATATAATTATAATTTTGTAAGTGATTTTGTTGATATGAAGATGCTTAATGCAGGCTTGTTTTTGTTAAAGAACAGAAATATTCCTTATTTCTAAATTACCTGATTCACATTTGATTTTGTCCCAATGTAACAAACTGGTTTTTTTTTCAAAGTGTGTCGCCATAGTGGTTGTTCAAGAGATTTTTAAAATTTATTTTATGTAGACAAATGTTATTTTCAGTGACACCATTTTCATTTAAAATAAAATAAAAAAGTGAATACAAATATAAAATTAATTTTAGAAATGAAGTAAGAAACAATAAACAAAGAATGAATTTAACAGCAATTTATCACGCTATCAAACTAAAAAAAATATTGTTCATTTTTTCCACATCTTCAAAATCTATGACGAATAAGAAACTTCAAATCTATTTTTAAAAGCTAAATTTTGAATAACATACTATAGTTTTGATTAATTGGTGGGAAAAAAACACCCCATATCACAAATAAAATGCAGCTTGAATATCAGTGACCAAGACCAAGAGTTATCTTCCTTACTTCGGAACTGCTAGGTTCTATTCACAGAAGATCAGAAACGTCTGACTTCTATTTTTGTCTTCCTTTTACTAAAGAAGATTTTTTTTAATTAATATATAAAGTACAGGGAGCAGATCTAGCAATTTTTTAACTGTGCGTTATAGGTCAGTACCCCCAACTCTCATACACAGAGTTTTGCAAGGGGACGACCTCCAAAAAAGTTGACAAAGAAAGAAAAAAAATCTGTTCACTACACTCTAAAATCTCTTTTCAAGGGTTTGGGGGTGTCTCTAACTTTTCTTATCAAATGCTTTATTTTGTATTTTGACCTTCGGGGAGAAAAACTGGGGGATCCAAATTCATAACAACTACAACATTTTTTCAGGGAAAAAATTGACACCCTTGCTCACGCACTACGATGCCATTTTAAATCTTTAATTTTCTTTGTTGATTAAAATATCGCCATAAAAAAAGGAGAAAACATTTTTAAAATTATTCCAGTTTTTATAAAAATGTGTCACAGTGTTTTACGTAATCTTTTAATGTATGTACTTGCTGCATCTTTCCAAGATAAACATGTAATTTTAAAAATCATATTATTTAAATAAATTAGTTACTGTAATGCAAAGTTATTTTGCTAGAAATATCTATAAACATTGAAATACAGTATACATGTATTAAAAGTTGTATATAAGTTTGGTTCATGGTGAATGTTGAAGAAAATAATCTTAAAGACCCAATTTTTTTACCGTACGGTTACCTGAGGAGGGGGAGTGGTCCAAGTAACAGTGCTGTTATTTACCTGGAGACCCCCAATACCCGAGATGTCAAAAATCTATATACACGTAGCATTACACAGGAAGTCTGTGTCTGGTGATCAGGGTCAACATTCCGTGTTTCATGTCTAAATCGGAGTGAAACTGCGTGAAATAATTGAAATATATCAATGTAAAGTTTATTTATTTCTACTTTCAGCGATATTTAATGAAGAAAAAAAGTTATAAAGAAATATCGTTTTTCTATTTTAAAAAAGATGTAAAATTAAAGACAAGAACACAGAGTAAAACTACAAAGCAAACATTCCTTTTTTAATTAAACTTGTGTAACTATCAAAATTTAAAAGAATAATAAAATATTCCATTCATAGGCCTATCCGTTTTGTGAACATATCTACAATGTGCCGCAGGAATATATTTTGCCTACGTTCTGACCAACAATAGTGTCGAAAATATTCACCATTTCCGGGTGTTCGTGTGTTTAAAAATTTTTACTGTTTGCAAGATTTCTTTTATACTTTTAAGAATTGATCTTTGGCTTTATATATTCACTTTTTAACTTCGAGACGTTAGGAAATTCGAACTAAAAGTTACAATCTCGAAACGCATGTTTCTGACATTTCAATTACAACGGAACATGGTGTAGATTGTATTCAAATATACATTGATAAAACATTGGATAAAGGAATTTTTTATCCATGCCGTTTGTGCTAATATATCTTTTCTTATTTATCATATTTCAATTTTAATCGGCAAATAGCGTTTCTGTGCACGGACTGCTCTAAATTCTACAGCAGATATCTTGGACGACATATCGCCTAAAATACAATATAGCTGTTGAGATTGAAAGCAAATATTTTATGAAGTCATGTTTTAATTATCTGCTCTCAATTGTTTTTGAAAAAACATTACCAAGATTCTTTTTTTTAACCCCCGTGTATACAAGGCGGCTACATGAAAGTGTTTGACGCGTGACCAGGCAATCGTTTTCAAAAGACACAAACTCAGACTATCAAGTAGCACGGGTAGCTGGCCTGTCAATCAAATCAGAAGCTATTGTTTTTTTTAATGATTGACAGGCGGTAAATTATTGATCTTGAATCAGGTAGATTTTAGGGGCGTTAACATAAAATTGGGTGTTTAAAGAAGTTTCCCTATTAGAATAATACCAGGTATTTCGGATTCATAAATAAGAGACATTTTCTTGAAATACAGTATACATGCATTAAAAGTTGTATATAAGTTTGGAAAACACTTTTTTAAAAGTTGCCCTATTACAATAATATTTCGGATTCATAAATAATAGACATTTTCTTTCGATTTCATTACGACTTTTATTCATTTTTCTTTCGTAGATTTTCATTATTTGTGTTAAATGTTTGAATCTATACTCTATTTTCTTATAGATGTATGCGTTGTGGGTATTTCAAAATATGCCTCGGTTGAACACAAATTAAAAAAAAATACTTTAGCACAATTTTCATTGCCACATTCATGAAGGATAAGAAAGTCTTATCTTTTTTGTCTATCTATACCAAACCTCGCCCTGTGTTATTTTCTCAAGGTCAAACATTTAGAGAAAAATTCAGATCTCTGATCAAGTATTCGTAACGATTAGTAAAATTGCATGCATACGATCCTAAAAGGTGAATAAGTATACATTCGTATAGGATCACTCGGAGATTCTCACGATTTTTCTTTATCGGAGGCCCATTAAGTGAAATCGAAGATCAGAAGTATCATTAGCAATGAGGTGCAATGTATTCAAGGTAATGGGTTTAGCATTTAAAATCATCAGTGTATTACATGGCAGTCTGTGTAAGAATGAGTGTTCAATTTTCTAACTCCATTACTGGCCACACTTGGAACCTTGTGTAAATAAAAACTAAAGTACCAATACAGTGCACCCATGATGGCTATAGTTACTCAACAATAAATTGTAATATTTCTTCTCAGGTTTGTACTGAAATTGAGAATTTTGTACAATTAATGAGCGTCTATGTTCTTTCACGGCTTAGACTAGGACGACAATGCCTCTTTATGTGTTATCTTACACTTTATACCTTGATGGGGTTCTTTTTTAATTAATCAGTTATCTCAAAGTTTCTGGTGTTAATTAAACTCTCTGTGTCGTACAGTGAAACTCATCAAAGCGAATTTCTAATTAATTATTTTCAAGAAATATTTTAATGTGATATACATTTACCCATCCAGTCAGTAAGTCTGAAAAGGACAGACAAAGCAAAATAATAAATTAGAAATCATGAAATTCTCTCGTATTTCTAGAGAGTTGGTGTTTGAGGTAATAAAAAAGATTGAAAGCGTTTATTTAAAAAAAAAATATTTAAACCGAATCATAGACCTTAAATTTACAGTGATTTATAATTTTTTGTCCAACACATTTTATTTTATCCTGTTTAATATAAATAAATGTACAGAATATGTTTCTCATGCAGAAGATCTTATCCAAAGAATTATATCCAGGTTGTCAATGTCTCTAAAAGGGCGGTTTCGTGGACCACATCCGTCTGTTGTCAAAGCGATAGAATACAAATCGTGTATTCATAGAAGTATGTTTCAAATCACACCTCAACAAACAGAGGATTTATAAGTGAAAGATAAATCAAGATATTCCGTAATCTGCGTTGGATACAAACCAAACATTCCCTACGTCCGCATTGCTCAATAACTCTGACTTTTCTGCGCTAATCAATGGTCATTCAATAAAAGGCAAATATTTTCATTTTAATATGCCTTTTAATGCACATTGTTTGACTTTAAATCCTTTATTAGTGGGTGGAATTGAGGAACGTGACTTTTATAAGGCCAAGAGGTTTAAAATATGATTGCTGTGTTTAAAGGAAGAAGTCAGAGAGTTATTAATGCGAAGAACTGAAATAAAGGTGAAATATATACCATTCATCAATTATGTCAAACCTGGCCAAATTTAAAGGTAAATTAAGTCATTTCAGTTATGCCGGAGAAAGTGGACCAACACATTTGATGTAAAGCCGTTGCGTGTTTGATTGCGATTTCTTTTCAATATGGATATGACATGCACAGAGAGGTGAAGATCGCCTTAACACATTAAGTAGTGTTTGACTTTTACGATCTTTGCAGAAAGGATTTCTTTGCTTCGCTACCATTTGGGAAAATATACTCCTCGAATCTTCCATGAAAGAAATTTAATTCTTTCGCAAACATTATCAACGACAAAGGAAAATTTATATTGCATGATCATTTAAATGAGAAAAATCCAAAGGGTATATATAAACTGAGTGAAAAATAATCAATTTCTTTTGTTGCTTGATGACAAACGGAAAGGATAAAAAGACTAGAGCGTTCGGGAGATATCTTTTTAATTTATGGTCTTCTGTTAGCTGAAGGAATTAATATGCTCAGCCAAGATTAATTCAAATTTTCTTTATGACAGGTATTGATTGGTTGAAAAATAATACAAAAAATTGATATCGCCTCGCGTTTCATCCCTCGTTTGGACTGATCAACAGCAGAACGAACAAGAAACCTAGCATTGGGATTTTCCTCCCGATTACCATACCATCATTGATGTGCAGAAATCGTGGACGTTTGGCGAGGAAACAGATATTTACACTTCCAGAGGATAAATCCGTATATGAAGAGAAATCGATACTTAAGTTCATATTTTCATTTAGAATAAACCGAATTCCAACAAAGTTCCGATCCTTACAGGTGAAGATCAAGTGAGGACCTTAACACGGTGTTATATATTAATATTATATTTTTAATAATCACATAAAGAGGGACGGTGGTGTATTAAGTGGGAACTTTATCAGAGCTTAAATCAGCAGTTTTTGGGTGCCTACAGAAGTGACAGAATGACGTTAGACAATACGGCTCGGTTATTGATGAGTATCGGAGGACTCCCAGTCAGCGCACCCCCAATTAATAATGCCTGTTTACCGAATAAGTATGACAGACTGGACGCAGAAGCACGCAAAAAGACCAAAGTTATAAATGGGCTCCTGGACTATAGACTCAAAGTGCAAGTTCGAACGTTGGAAAAATACAAACGTGATGCTGACAAACTCCTAAAAAAGGAGAAAGCTAAAATACAGCATGAACTGAAATCCTTTAACAAAAAATTACCGCACATGGATGATTTGCCATATTTGAGGCTCCGGCTCCCCATGAAGACCTCGGAGGAGAATTCTTTTAAAACACATGTGACGCAGCCTAAACCCCTTAAAGGAATTCTTAGTGAGATGGAGGATAAACCTTTCTGTGATAGATTTTTCCACCATCATGTTCCCGGTGTGCCGAGAATTGAAAAACAGAAACCCTTCTACACAACGTCCCTACAGTCTGTTAATGCCGAAAGTGAGAACGATTCAGTGTTGAATAGAAGAAAGAGCAATCTTTTAATATCAAAGCGGCTCAGCATGAGCGAGACCTGCTTATCCGCTCGAGCCGATTTTGAGCGGTCTTTTGTTCTCAGCAAAGAGCCAACTGTGTTCCCTGAGGATGATGCCATGACGATTTAATTCTTTTTCCCAAAATACAAATCCCATGTTATCTTTTTATGATATTATTAAAAATTATCCTTCTTATATTTGAAAGAAGGGATACAAGTATATTTTCTTTGATGGATTTCTTCCATTGTAAATTTAAGAAGATTTTTTTTCTTTTTTTCAAACACAGTTTCTAACACAATATTTTGAAATGAAATGTGTTTTTAACGGAAAAGGATATGTTTAAATGTTAGAAACAGGACATTCTAAAACCTTTTAGATGCTGTCTTTATCATTGATTTTATCCACACGATTTAGAATATCGCTGTAAAAATTACAACCAGAAGCTTTTACAACAACACGGAAAATGCTTTTAAAACTTTTGATGCATGTCGTTTTCGCAGATGTAAGAATCTCAGACAATGTCGGTTCTAAACATCAAAGATGAGTGATAATGTAACTCTGAGATTAAATGATAGTGGGTGCCATTGTTCACCGAGTTATATTGAGGACTATCATTTCTTCAGGGTGATATATATTTTATTTAAAATGTTTTTGTAACTTTTCGTTGGTACGGATATTCTTGTGCCAACTGTTCCATTTTATTATGTGACCCCATTAGTTTTAATTTTGAAATTCGTCAGCAAATTCCGTTCCTAAAATTTTGTTTTGGGGCTTTTTTCTGTATTTCTAAGGGGGAAATGATAAAAACGATGATAAAAACCGAATTTTTAAAATATTGATCTATATTATTAAGTATTATTGTATGCTTGTTTTATGTTCCTTTATTAAATTCAATATTTGCACTGTAAAATTTAACAATCTGAACAGACATTCAATTAAATGTCACGTAATTAGCATACTGCATTCCTCGGTCACCATGAACTAAACGCAATTGACGTCAATTTGTTAATTCAGGGATAAAGGCATTAATAAAATGTACCGAATAAAAATTTACAAAGAACCAAATAACAACAACTTTATACTGACCACTAATTTGTTATCGAAAACAATTTATACACCTGTTTGTCAAACTATAAGTTATTGAAATTATGCAACATTCTTAATCATGGCTTTCAATACCGAATCCCCCTTTGCGTGTAATATTAATCGGCTTATTCGATATTATCGATAAAATCAATTCATCAAAGGCAAAGTGCAATTGATTTTTAAATGTAAAGTTTCTTTAATAACACAAATCAAAAGCTGAAATATACATTTTTAATGTCTCTTTCTGTGCACGTACAAAAATCAATGGGATCATTCTGTTTGTGTTTGATTACATGCGTTGCCTTCGATCTCAAGAGGAAACGCTTTAAGGGGGATCAGTTTAATAGTATTGCTCATTTATAACGGGGTACAATTCCTTTATTGAATCTATGTAAGCATAGATTGTGTGACACTGATCAATTTTATATTTACTCATTCTAGAGGAGGTCCAAAACGTCTAGATGGGCTCTTTGTTTAATTAAAACATGTTTGTACCCCACTGGAAAAGAGAAATGCTTGGTTAATAAAAACCGAAGAATGATTTAGTTATTTGCATTGTGGTTCATTCTCAAAATTGAGCTTTGATTTATTATGCTATTAAAAATCTGTATAGTTATTTTAATAAAGAAGAAAGAAATTATTCATCGAATTCCGAATGTCATTACAATACTTACATGTAGTTGTATACTTTGTATTTCACAAATGAAAATGGAGAATCCATTGAAAGAATTTTTTTCTTAAAATAAAAAATGGTAGATTAATGAAAAATAACAATACATTTCACACATTTAGAAATATGTCGCACACATCTATTAATCAGCTGTTGGAGAATTTCTGAAGACATAGGAGAGAAACACGCCAGAGTGATCAAACATAAGCCTGGACTGGGAAACCATTTAATCAGGCCATCATAGAAATTTAATAAAACTATGGCAAAAATTGATGTTTAAGGCATGTTATTGATAAAACCGAAGACAGCTCTGCGATTGATATATTTTTTTCTATTATTTTATACATCTTTAATATTCTATATATTAGTTTTCAATAATAACCTTCTTCCTGAACTGACAAATATACTTTGAATAATAAAACATTATGTAGATTAGATTTATTTTAGTTTTCATTAAAATATCCGCCATGAGAAATCTTTCATCCAATGGTGGTTTACATCATTAGTGTTTAAATCTGTTGATTCCTGGAACATGTAAAATATATGAAAATTACCCTAATACAAAAGTAATATGTTAAATATATAATATAGTATCTGTCATTGTTTTCTAATGCCCAGTAATCGAATATTCGGTGGCACATAGTTTTTGCCCTGTCCATCCGTCTGTCTGTATGTCCGCAAAAACTTTAACCTTGGCCATAATTTTAGAGTGGGTGGGGCTATGTTTCATATTTCACATATGTATTCCTTGTGACAAGACCTTTCTTAAGGTACCACCAAATTTGACCAAAATTGGGGTTGAAAAATGACGTTTTTTTTAATACAAAAAGCCCCCCGTTCCCTGAACTCCATTTACATTTTATACAGTAGCCTAATCATCTTTTGAGAGATGATTGGTGGTGTCCTATAGATGTTCAATAAGGTTTCACATGGTCACCTGAACATTTTATGCTCGATTTTACAAACTCGTGTACTGTGTATATTCAAAAGTTATATTGGCTTTTCCCTTGGTTATCCCGATATGAAGGGTTGTGCATTTAGAGTCAAACACCTTACTGCGGGTATTACTGTCTCACGACAGCATCTAGTTTTACATGTTAAATTATATTTCTGTCATTAACTTCATTATTTATTAGTCTTACTTCACACAAATGCTTCGAACTTCCTCATCGAATAAAAATATGTACACATGTACGCTAAAATTAACTTTTAATATTTTGAAATGTTAATTAGTTGAATCGTGATAAAATTGATCATTTTAAGCATTTAAAAGTTCAGCTGGAAAAAAGTCAGTGTAGATCAAATATTTACTATCATCAACAAACTTTTCAGCTTTCAAAACGTTGTTAAATCCGCAGTAGTTAAGGTGGAATGTCCCTACTTTTAAGAGAGAAAACTTTCCTAAGTCATTTTTAGGGCTGTATCAATATATCGATATATCGATACGTATCGATATTTAAGAATAATATCGTATCGAAAAATAACTTCCAATACGTATTGGACGGACAGTTTTTCTTCTAATTCTGTTAAAAAGATGGGAATTTTAATCACCAAAGATTATGATTTACCTTTTTGAATTAATACTGTTCAATAATTATATAATTTGACAGGAAATAACACAGTTTTTATAATTATTACAAAGTACAAAGAGATTTTTATTTGAACATGTACTGTCATTAAACTTTTACTCTCATTAAAAGTTTTATTTTGAAGTGTTATTTGTAATGACAATGACACAAGAACTTTAAAATGGGTAATAAAACACTCAATTGTTATGAAATTCATGCATTAAAATGATTTAGAAGCATTTTCTGATTGACTTGTTTTTAGAATCCAATATATCGCATATCGCTTTAAAAAATATTGCATCGTATCGTATCGAAATTTTTGGCCCAATACACAGCCCTAGTAATTTTTCTTAGAGATGTAGCTCTCCGAAAAAAAATAAAATACTGACAGACCTGGTCGTCCATCCCATTTTTTTTTCAGACCAGTGAGCTACATGCAGATCTGCATTACGATATTTGCCGTTGCATGGGGTAATAAGGAAAGAACTTTGAACAAACCAAGAGTCTAATATTTATTTACATAATACATGTATAGTTAATATTGTGAGTACAAGTTTTAACTGATAAAAGAAAAATAAGGGGAAGGTAGGAACAAATCAATTTTCCAAGTAATTTTCTTCATATATATGACATTCTTAGGGATTCTGCATTGATTTCCGTTTCCTACATGTAAAGGGGATGGGTGGGTCATTTTTGAAGATACAAAAAATCCCTGGTGGGTCAGGATCCCTCGACTCTCTCTTGATGCGCTCATGAATTCTATTCTTTTAATCCACAACATGTATTTCTCAAAATCATATTATTTGTATAAATACTTTGAAGTTACCATATGTCCGGTTTTTTTTTTTCGTGTGTTGGAAATTTTCCGAAAAAGGGGTAAGTTTGTACAGTTTTTAATTTGCGTGTTATTTTTTACGATTGAAGATTTTTTTTTAAATGGTAATGTTTTTATGTCACATTATAACATTATAAATGACATAATTTCTGAGTGTTTTATATTTTGCGAATTAAAAATAATCGCAGAAAAAGCGAAAAATTTAATAGATAATCGCGAAAAAAAACCCGGATATACGGTATGTTCATGCTCACAGTGTGTGAAATTCAAATTGCAGTAATCAGTAAATCGACAAAATACGGGTCAATGTGATAATGGATAATAGTTGAATTTTTGTAAGTTTGTGGCAAGATTACAATGTAACATTCTTTCTAAAATTACTGAGTGGGTGTCAAAATCGTTATGATTGAATTAAAAAATTTAAAGAATATACCTTTCTTTGAAAGCAATAGATATCTAATACCCTGATGCATGTCAATAAATAATGCACCTTAAACAAATTAAAGGTGTTAATAACAGCAATGATTTATTTATTGGAAGTAGTTTTAATTAAAGGCTAGAGTACTTCCTTCGATTTAGAAATTCTACATACGTCAAGTCCAGCCTGTCATTATAATGAAATGATTAACAGAAAAAATATCTTCCAAAATATTTCTTTTTGTCAGAGATGGCGTGGGAATTTTGAGAAAACAATAAAATGACGTGTACTTGACTTAAGTAGAAACCTAATCCTTGGTAACAATAATGTTACGTGGTGAAATTATGGGAGTGTGAAATTTTTTTTTTACATCATGTATAGATATTTACACCTATAATTTCTCCCTTATCTACCTATATCTTCCTATGCAAATGCTTGACCACGACACCAGATATATACTGACACAACCGATCGTCTGTTAAACATTGCAGAATATCAATTTATAGAAATCTATTTTGTTTATGAAGAAAAAAGAGACAGTTATTTGTTATTTCATTTAAAAATGAGTTAGAATCAGATAAATATTGTACACATTAATTCATGTTTGATTTGATATGAAATTCGGGTATGGAACCACAGGTGTTTGTGGACGCCCCCCTAGACCCTGGGTCCAAGGATTTTTTTTTATTTATCTTTTTTCATAATTTATCTTCTAGGACACATTTACAATGTATTCCCTATGAAAAATCTAAAAATAACGTAGAATTAACGTTTTATAAAAAATCACACCCGCGGTATTGTAATATTTTATAATACCGCGAGTATGGTTTTTTAAGAAATCAGAAATTAATGTAAATATTTTCTGAATGAAACATATGGAGATAACGAACAGTATTCAAGATCTCAAGTCCATAAAACAATACAAAATAGGAGCAGAGCAAACACGGATCTCCAAAACAACAGAGGTGGGATCAGGTGCCATGGAGGAGTGAGCATCCCCTGCCGACCGGACACACCCGCCGTGTGCTCCTTGTCATGATCAGAAAATAAAGGGAAAATCAGTCATCAATTCAGTGTTTAAATAATGGACTAACAATTAGTATGAAAAACGTCAGTCAGCATTTGACTCAATGATAAGCTGTATTTGCTGACAAGGTTATCGACCATAGAAATGAAAAATTTTCTTTGACTGACAGTTTAAATACAAATTCTTTGGCCATGTTTTTCATATTTAATTGTCTAGAGATTTTTTTTTACGTTTACTAGTACCTAATCATTACAAGAAACACACTTCGGGTGTGACCTATCGATGGGAATGCTTACTTCTCCATGGTTCCTAATCCCACCTGTGTTTTCAGAGGTCCTTGTAAACTCGCTCATAGTTTGTATTGTTTAAATGAACTTTTATAAATGATTGCTGTTTGTTGTCTTCACAACGTCTGTAAAACGCATGTGTGCATTTATAGATCTAGAACGGAAGAATATGTTGTAATTAATATTATAACCCCCCCCCCCGCTTAAAAAGCGAGAGGGTATATAGTGTAGGGCTGGGTATTGGCCCGAGATTTCGTATTGCGATATATTGAGATATTTGTAACTGCATCGCGATATTATTGCAATATTTTAAATGTAATTTAAATGGCATTTTCTTGCTATATTTATTTAATTTACATGCAAAATGTACATAACTATGATAAGTAGCCAACACTGACAAAAAAAAAACCTGTTGATTTCATTACAGTTATGCTCTGAAAAGTTCCCACAAAACAACTTCTGTCGTACTGTTTGGCTTAATAACAAACTTTCATGAGTCCATTTTTATATAATTATACCTGGCAATGACAAAATTCTTTAATCTAAGTATATTGCCAATATATCGATATTAACAAAATCGTATTGCGATACGATATTTTTTGTCATTGTATTGTAATATATTGAAATATCGATATTATTGCCCAGCCCTAATATAGTGATTATATAGTGATCGTCCGTCCGTTACGCTTTGGGGATACCCATCTCTTATCCGCAACTCCTCTTATACCGCTGAATGAAATTTAGTGAAACTATCACAGAATCTTTCTTACACATATATCTAGTGCCATTGTGTCCTATTTTAATTTTTGATCAGATACATATTTCGGGTTTCCCGTAACAAAACATTGATTCTGCCATTCTTTCTTTTATATTATTGAAGGGTACCCATCTCTATCCGCAACTCCTTCTATAACAATAAATAAAATTTAATACTTTCACAGATTATTTATTACATAATGCCATTGTGCATCTTCTATTTTACTTTTTTGATCTGACTCTTTTTTCGCGTCTCTCAGAGCAAAACATAGACTTTACAAGTATAATCATATGGGAGGTGGGGGGGGGGTGTCATTAAGTGAGCTTAATGCTCAGAGTACCTCTGGTTTCTATCTACATTTTGGACGGAAATCCAAGAAATTGTCGCACTTAATTTATTGAAATGTCCTAAACTATACATATTCAATGCCCACAATCTTATTAATCGAATATCTCGAGGAATTAAATTATTGAAAGAAAACTCTATATAAATCATAGGTTGATTTAAAGGAATTTTCATTTATCTTTTTAAAAAAATCCGACTATACACACATTTAAAATAATGGCAACGAAAATATTGTAAATACTTCACTTCTACATTCTCCTTTTTTAACATTGCGTATTTTTGTATCACTTTGGCAAATCCTAAATACATTACCATACATTAACCTTTTGTGCGGTATCACTTTGACTATTCTGCGACCTTTTGACCTTCCTGCGAACAGGTGTTTGATAACAATTATATAATGCCATAAATGGACAATCTTCGAATCTCTCTCGTAGGAGGATTCTGATTGGTGAATTAAATTTAAGGCGGTTTGACAATCAGCTGGTCTTTTTCAAGATGAGGGGAATAATAGCCTTAATGAGCACAATATGCTTTGCTTCCTATACATACGGTGAGTCCCTAAAATAATTTTAAGCGAAGAGACTAGTGCTTACACATCGACAAATTATGAGGAAAATATTTTTTTACATAGTTAATTTTCTTTTTTCACTCTTGTTAATTTACTAAATGATTTTTACAACATGTAAAGATGAGTAAATTCTTTGAACACATTCACGGTCTACATTAATAATGAAGTCATCTAAAGCCTTGTCAGGGGGTGATTTCTTATCACAAAGGACTTACAGAGTGAACATATATGACCATCTAATTAAATTATTAGCATATAAGGTATATTTTCTTTTCAGGATTTTCCATTCGAAGGTCTTCATTTGATCCAAATGCATTATTCCAGCAACAAGCTCAGATTGCAGCTTCGTCTATTAAAGGAACGGGAAATGTAGGGTCCCCTAGCGGCGGATCCTCAGGTTCTCAATCCGGGGCTTCGTCCGGTACTTCATCATCATTTGACCCAAACTCTCTGAATAGTCAAATGATGCAGAGTGCCAATAATGGACCTCCAAATTCTGGCAGTTCTTCTGGGGCCGCTTCGTCGTTTGATCCAAATTCACTCAATAATCAAATGATGCAAAGTGGTGGTTCATCATCCGGGGGATTCGATCCAAATGCTTTAAATAACCAAATGATGCAGCAGAACTCTCAAAGCAGCACTGGAGGAAGCAGTGGCACATCATCATTTGATCCCAGTGCCGTCAATAAACCAATATCACAGTCTCAAAGCGCTGGTGGTTCAAGTGGTGGGTCTAGTGGAGGTTCCTCTGGGTCCTCGTCGTTCAATCCAAACACACTGAATCAACAGATGTCTCAATCACAAAGTAGTGGTGGATCAAGTAGCTCTCCACAAACTAGCGGGAGCTCTGGTGGTTCCTCCTCTGGTTCTTCCTCATTTAATCCAAATGCAATGAATCAGCAGATGTCACAATCCCAAAGCGCCGGGAGTTCAAGTGCTGGATCTAGTCAAATGGGTGGCGGTTCTAGTCAATCGAGTGGAGGATCATCTAGCATGTCAGGTGGTTTTGATCCTACTTCCATGAATAATCAGATGCTACAAAACAATATAAAACAGATGGCTTCTGGGCAACAAGTAAACGCCAATATGATGAGCAGTGGCTCTTCCGGAGGAAGTGGGGGCAGTTCAAGCATGTCCAGTATGGGTGGAAGTAGTGGATCTAGCGGCGGAGGAAGTGGAAGTTTCGACCCAAATTCCCTAAACAAACCAGAAAATAATAAAATTGACCCAAGCATGTTCATGTCCAATATGGGCGGCTCAGCTGGCAGTGGCTCGGGCGGAAGCTCGAGTGGTGGATCCAGCCAAATGAGTGGTGGAAGCTCTGGAGGGGGTGCAAGTGGTGGATCCAGCCAAATGATGTCACCATCAAACATGATGGGTGGTGGAAGTTCAAGCGGAGGAAGTTCTAGCGGAGGATCGAGTCAAATGATGTCAAACATGATGGGTGGTGGAAGTTCAAGTGGAGGATCAAGTCAGATGATGTCACCATCAAACATGATGGGCGGGGGAAGTTCAAGTGGCGGAAGTTCAAGTGGAGGATCGAGTCAAATGATGTCAAACATGATGGGCGGAAGTTCAAATGGCGGAAGTTCAAGCGGAGGAGGTTCTAGCGGTGGATCAAGTCAAATGATGTCGCCTTCCAGTATGATGGGTGGTGGAAGTTCTGGAAGCAGCTCTAGTGGTGGGTCAGGTTCTAGTAGCGGGGGAAGCATGCCCAACTTTAACCCAAATCAGCTGATACAGAATATGATGGGTGGGATGAACCTCATGAATCCTAGTCAGTTTATTGGCAGAAAAAGATTTGTTCAGTAAAAATAAATTAAAAAGAATGAAAAAAATTGTTTTGTTTAAACGTTTGTTTGTAAACTGTGTATCAATTAGACTTTCATAAAATCAATAATTATTAAAGATTTTGTTTTGAGAATTTACGGTTAATGAAATCTACATTATGTTAGAAATCCAAATGATAAGAATCAAAATCTTATCCTCAACTGGAGACCTATATACATGTATATATAGTATATAGTACATTAAATGCTGTGGGTTGACTTTTATTACTAGAATTGTTTTAGGGGAGGTAGAAAGCAAAAGGCTTATGAACAAGGACTAATAGAAAGATATTAATAATAAACATTTTTATTATCCTTTCAGTAACTTCTACTTTTTGAAAAACCAATTGGGGAAAAAATCAGCTAATAAGTAGTACTAAATGAAACGAAATCTAGACAAAAGGAAATATGAACTGCTTCATTTTTGAAAAGCACTTGACATGTAGTTTATAAGTTATAAAATTGTAACCTATTTTGATAACACGTTACAGTGGACGATAGGAAATCTACTATTTAACGTCCTTCTCGAGAATGTTTCACTCATTTGGAGAAGCCAGCACTTGCCGGTGGAGAGCTGCAAACTTTGTCCTTTACTCGGTACTTACGGCCACTGGGCAGTGCATTAGGTTTCTTTTCCGTGCCAGCCTACAGCGACACGGGCCTCGGTTTATACGGTCTCATCCGAAGGACCGATCTCCACGTCCCACAGTGAGATTCGAACCCGCGACGTAAGGATCATCTCCTTATTTTGCGACTCTAGAGTAGATGCTCTAACCACTGCGCCACGCGGGCGTTCCATTCCGATTTGAATGGGAATGATATGCTTTCAAATAGGAATAACAACTCTATTGCTTATAAACCACGTTCTTATCGAATATGGATGACAAAATAATCAAAATAGGATAACAAAATTATCCAATCTGATTAAAATCAGATCCTTTGATCCGCTCACATAAAGATCGCTACGCAAGGATCTGAAGAAACCCCATTCAGGGTCATCTCCTGGTGACATTTCTCATAAAAATATTTATTAAAATTTTGACCAATAAGAGAGAGATCGTATATTAACATCTAAATGACATTCGGGAAAATGAATGTAGAAGTGAAAGTAGCTGTAGAGAAGCTATTATCGTTTTGTATCAAACAAAGAGCTAAAAACGAAGACAAAAGCAAGTACTTAAATATTATATTTCTGTACAGAAAAGACTGTAGTCATTATCTTAGCAGGCTACGGAAACTAGGTCACAATTTTCCGTTCGTGTGTCATCGGGGCTTTTACTTCTGTAACTGAATTCCGAGATACTTCTAAATTCTTGGAAGTGAACGTTTGATTGGATAATTGAGAGGTCACCAGGAGATGACCCTGAATGGGGTTTCTTCAGATCCTTGTAGACAGCGATCTTTATGTGAGCGGATCAAAGTATCTGATTTTAATCAGATTGTATGTGAGCGGATCAAAGGATCTGATTTTAATCAGATTGCAAAATTATCGAAAAGAAATCACATGTTTTCGAATGCGCATAATATTTTTTGGAATAGGTTTAATATATTTTGGAATAATAATCATACTTTATATTATATCTTCCATTCGGAATAGCAATTTATTGAATAGAAATGTCAACGAGTTTACAGGTGCGTGAGAGTCGGTCCAATATATCGGATCTAAATAGCTGAGTGGTTAGAGCGCTGGCATGGTACGCCAGAGGCCCTAGGTTCGAGTCCCGGTTGAGACTCGATTTTTCACCACCTGTGACATTTGGCACCCAGTGTGCAAAACCCACTATTCCTTTGGAACATGCTTCACACATTTTCTAAACTCATAGAATCCGTAGACGAATTTCTACGAAAAAGGGGGATATGTCACCGGGTTCACATATATGCTTGAGAGTCAGTCAATATATCGGGTCTTCATAGCTAAATGGTTAGAGCGCTGGTACTGTACGCCAGAGGCCCTGGGTTCCAGTTCAGGTTGAGACTTGATTTTTCACCACCTGTAACTGAAAAATTGTCGAATAGGAATCACATTTTCTTGAATAACAAATTATGAAATAGGAATCACAAATTTTCCAGCAGGAGTGATATGCTTTAAAAAAGAATAAAAAAATTGTTTAAGGGGGGACCTATGTCGTTCTACGTCAAGGCAGCGTTATGTGACGTCACAATAGCGACGTTTGTTTTTACCTGTTGACTTTTGCAACTGTGATATAGGCATAACATTGTTGATAATCAATAACGTACACAATTTACAAAAAGGAAAATTTGTTCATCTTTAATCACAGTTTTATTTGATTTATGGAGTTTGTTAGTATTAGAATTCTCTTCCTTTGGTTGATAATTCATAGCAATTTCTGTTGTGAAAAAATACCCCGATAATATGCTGATATAATAGTGCAAAAAAGAGATAAAATTCAGGAAAGAAAGCGGCTTCTATCAGGGGAAAATGTTTAATTTTATAATTACCATTAATCGATTTTCTGGAGAAAACTAAGAAAAAAATTAAGAAATGTACTTGTACGGGTGTATATTTGCTTATTGATTTATATAGTACATGTAGATTTTATTATATAAAGTCATTCCTAGGTTCTAATAGGCATTGGTTGTTAACGGGGAAATGGGGGGGGGGGGGGGAGAAACAGAATGAATGGAATGTAGAATTTTTTTTTATCTATTTAAATTGTTTCTAATCAAAACAAAATACTCGTTTTCCGCAAGATAGTTTTATATTCAGGTTTTTGTCAGTGCTCACTTACCCTTTTTTTAGTGCAAAAAGGTCAATATTTATGACACAAGAGTACAAAAATAAAAGGAAACGTCATATTTCTCGTTTATTTTATCATAAAGGTATACTTTTTTCTTTGTTGAAATAAAGAGATGAATCATTTCTTTCAAAAAATATGAATTACAAAATTTTCACACAAAGACTTTTTAAGATATTACCTGTTAGGCATGTCGGAATTGTAAAAAATACGACAAGAAAAATGGGGTAATACTTACATTTTGCTCCATTATAATTTTTCATGCGAGATAGATTTCAATGAATTTGCCTTCATCTTAAAGATACAAGTCATATAAATTAAATATTTGTTGATTTTAAATGTGATTCGACATTTTTCGTTCTTTTTAGCACATATTTGGGGTAGAACAATAGTCTTAAAATAATCTATTTTTAGTATTTCACACTGTTTTTGCACGTGCTCCTGTGTAAAAATAAGCATATAAAGGTATTGTTTTTAATACCTGAAAATTAAGAGCAAGTGGTCATGAAAGAAATGTCAAAGTTTTGAAAATTTCACACAAAGACTTTTCGGACATAGGTCCCCCCTTAATAAGAATGGCAGAAACGTATAATAATGCAACATTTTACACGTCATATCCGCCTCTCAATTTCAAAGGATCACTTCATTATAAATAGGTATCTGACTTATAGGGCCGGGCTTGGTTTTATTCTCTACAAAAAGCTTGTCGATTTCCGTTCTGATTAATGACATTAGGCTGAATGCATATAACAATTTATTTTTCCTAAATCTTTATTTCGGTGAGTAGAGATAGGAGGAACCCTTTCATTGAATTTCTGAGTTTGTTATCTCCAAATGTAATCATTGATATTTTTCTTTATTTCTCATTGTGCATAATGGTAATGTCTACTGTCTCTGAAATTCTATTCTTTATGTCTAGGCTATTTATTCGTGGATATAATAAAACATGCCATTAATGTGTGCAAATTATATAGGCCTAAATGAAATTCAAGGAAAACAGTTACTGATATATGTAGCCAAAGTCAATGTGATTAAATTCTAAGAAATATATACAAATGAAATTCATCGCAGCTCAACGCTGCCAAGAATACCTGTATCGAGTAACACAAAGTGAGCTATTCTTGTCCTCGGAGAAAGTGTGCTTATATATTGTTCCGCCTGACTGACAACTGTACATTGGATTGTTACGATCTGATCTCCCTTAAGTGTTTCTTATATCAAGAATGGGCATGAATAAAGGATAAATAATTGAAAAACAATGCACAATCTATAAAAAAAAATTAAAATAGTCTTTGAAAAGGCGAGGAACTAAAACTTTAAAAGTGTGGTACCAGGTGGATTCGAACACCCGACTTTAAAAAGAAAGTATCGACAGTGAGATAGTGAGCACATATATCAACTGAGCTAGTCTGACTTTAGAATTGTGAGACATAAATTTTAAGCAGATTATCAAAATCTGGTTCCCTAATTTTTTGTAGGTTTTTTGTGAATTTCAACCCTAGGGAAGGGGTGCCCCTAAAATAGTCCTATCTTAAATTATTCCTTACATCCCAACCTATCAAAACATCACAGTTTTATTTAGGGGCAGGCCTGCCTTGAAGGACTTTTAGGCCAAAATACATGCAAAAATCAACGCTTTAATGGACAAAATGGTGTTTTGGCCAATTTTGGAGGTTTATTATAAAGTTGTAAATAATAAATTTTAGGTATAAAATACAAATTTGAAAAATCTAGACATATACTAGATAGAAAACAACAAATAAAGGTTAATTTTTAAATGTCACTTTTCCCGGGAAATTGTTCTCTCCTAAAGGTCAATTCTTTTGTCAAAACGAATACATCCTTTATTTTCCTAAATCAGTATCAAAACTAAAAATTAACTTTAAATCGTACTCAAAAATAAGAACGTTCATAAAAAATCAAATTGCTTTTAAGAACTTTTAATACCAAAAATTAATACATAAATACATGTAGTGTTTTGGTATGGTGTGCCAATACGGCCATTCGCAAAAGTGTAACAGAGCCTTAATCACAACGCGCTTGTGGTGCAGTGGTTAGAGCGTCTACTCTAGAGTCGCGGAGTAAAGAGTTGATCCTAACGTCGCGGTTTCGAATCCCACGTGGAGACCGGTCCTTCAAATGAAACCGTATGAACCGAAGTCTAGTGTCGCAGTATGTGTTGGTACGAAAAAAATATCTCTTGCTGCTCAATGACCCTGGGTGCCGAGCATAGGACAACAAGTATATACTGACAAAACGTCAGAGATACTCAAGCTGTAGAAAGTCAACTAGGAAATGTCATTAATATCCTATAATGGTATAAGATGAGGGCTATTGAGTTCAATCTTCTGTTGAATAAAATACATGTACATGAAACAAAATTCATATATTGAATTTAATTAGAAAAAAATATAATTAATCGTACTGCTTTTTAAGATGAATTTACGTTACTCACTTTCAGAAATATTTTATAGAGCATAGTGGCCGTTTCTTAATTTAATGAAATATTTTTAATGTTGATATATATATACTTCAAACTATATATACGGATTTTTTTTTTTTTTTTTTTTTTTTTGGTTTGTTTTTTGTTTTTGTTTTTTGCTTAATGAAGTACATCGATTACAATTTGATATACATAAATCCAAATACCTTGTTAATTACAAGTCTACAGGTAGAAATGTTTTTCAAAGTGGATTGGGGGAGGGGGGGGCTCCCGAGTCCGGGCTCCAAAAATTCCACGTGACTACGGGTTCATCTGGCTGTGCAGCATGTCTAATACATATTCCGTACGAATCCAAAAAAAGTTATACAGGTTCCGTTACCAAAGCTGAAGATAACCAGTACGATTTTTTGAAATTAAAAAAAAATGTACGAGGGAGAATTTAACATTAATGTTATGCTATTATTTTACTGCCGAAGTGCACGTATGCACATCATTCTCAGGCCTGTGAGAAGCAATTTCAATATGGGGGGTACAACCATACGTTTTCTGGCCATACATAGTAGAATTTGTAAAAACGATGGGGTAACCTGCGTCACCTTTCAGAGTAAATAGTGGACTCGTCCAATGATGCTTTGTGGGCGTCTGTAAAAGTTACCTGAGATTCCTACGCAAAGGAAAGCGCGAAATCTCTGTATAGAAACTGTTGCGGCTGCGGAGCTTCACTCATTGTTCATTCGCCGTAAAAAAGAATCCGATATTTAACGCTTAATATCTTTGAATATACAGACTTTTTCAAGATAAGCTTAATTTTCGTTTCTAGAAATATTTTTATCTACACAAATAATATCTTTCCGTGTATTTTAACTGAGTAAATTGATGACCTAGCACTCTAGGGCTTGAGTAAAAATTTGCATCTCCCCACCGGCAAATATTGGCGTCTCCATATGAAAATTTCTCCAGAGGGACATTAAACAATATACAACAAAAATAAACAAAGCGCTGGAGCGTTGTAACTTACGCATTGTTGCAATTTTGCAAACGTGTTTAGAACACGCAGTCGCGCAAACAGGCAACACACCTTCGTGCTAACAAAACTTTACACAACATTTTGTTGCGCTTAAACTCTGCAAACTCGCGGTTCAGCAACTTTACATAAAAGCCGTCGCACTTATACACAATACACCGTCGCGTTAACACATCTTTACAGTTTACACAATGTATTGTGTCAAGTTTTATTAGTGTGACGGTGTAGTGGGTGCGTTCAGAGTACTGCCGTTGGCTAACAAAAGTTACCGATGGTAGAATTTCTCACCATTGGTAAGCCAATGGTACCAAAGTTTGCACAAAAAATTTACCATAGGTAGATTTTTCTGCAGACAAACTAGAGCTCTGTTAGCGATGGTAACTTTTTTAATGACGTCAAACAAAATGGCGGGTACTGATCAAGTTGGTCCTACTAAACAGAGAACCCGAGAGATCTCTAGGTTTACGGGGCGGTATTCGGTAAATTTTCATAAATTTTATGCTTATTTTAGTTCATTTTTACTCTATAAATCGTTTTCTATCTATAAAATTAATATTAACAAGATTATTCTATGAAAGTTATCCCTCGGGGAAAAAGTTGAAAAAGTAACAAATCATGTAATGTTTTTACCACACCTAATCACTAATATACATAAACTCTGTGTATATAGGTGTGAAACGTCTTTTTTAAATGTGGTTTTTCTTGACTGAAAGTTTCAGAATATTTATTTTAATAACTTTTAAGTGTATTTAATGTAAAATCAAAATTTTATTAATTTAATTATTTTACATTTGAGTCGATTTGACAATCAGGAAGACGAGTTGGAGAAAAATTCTGTTGCGGAGAAGTACTTTACTAAAAAGTATTTTTGAAAGCATTTTTTTTTTTGCTGCAAAATGATGCATGAAGCAAGAATAAAACTCTTGGTTTTTCTTCTAAGAAATCTGTCAATGTTAACAATGGTATACACCAATGTCACAAAAGGTACACCAATGTAATCCGAGATTCCTCTGACTCTAACCCCTGCTTTTATATTGTGACTTGTGCAGGGGAGACCCCGCACAAGTCAAAATATAAAAGCGGGGGTTAGAGTCGGAGGAATCTCGGATTAACACCAATGGTGCCATTGTTAACATTGGTGATCGAGTTTCCTACCAACTCTACCCAAAACTCGTTCAGAGTACATATGGGTCCAATGGTACCAACGGTACAAATTGTTACCATTGGCAAAGAGGTGATGGTACCACTGGAAATACTCTGAACGCACCCATTGTGTATGCGTTGTTTCTTATGCTCTGTTAAGGCCGGTATACACGGTAAGATTTGTATTATAAGATTTGTATTATAATACAAAATCTTCCTGTGTATACACTCTTAATACAGTGTATCATAAGATTTTTCGAATCTTATAAAACTGTATTAAGAATAGAGCAATGCTCTATTTTCTAATACAAGTCTTAGCTTACCTATCACTTTCAACCAATGAAATGTTATGACACTAGGGGTCATCCTATTTTTATCATTACTGAAAAAAGCACATGGTAAATAATATTGATGGACTTTACAAGTAAAGACATCGAAAAAACTCGTGACTTAATGGGAAGGGGAAAAGGACTTGTGGAATATATAAAGCAGTGTATTTAAACAATAAAATGCTTTCTTTGTTTGTTATTACTGGAATGAACGGAAGCAGCTGTTGCTGAAAAAATATATAACCCGCGTAAGCGGGTTATGTAATTTTTTTCTGCAATAGCTGCGACCGTTCATTCCAGTAATAACAAACAAAGAAAGACATTTTATTGTTTATATTTATATCTGTTTAAATAATCAATTAAAGTAGGATTAAAAAGATTAATTATTGTATTAATGATGCGAACGTCTTTATACGTTTCATTGATGGAACAGCCACTGATTAAGAAATCTGTACATGCGACATGCCTACTGTAGTTTATGCAGTGATGAACGCAATGGGATTTCTTAAGAAATAAAGGAGAAAATATTCAGTGGATGTAAATATAGTACGATGATAGACACTGCTATCAGAGCCTCATCCTTCATTTTTATTACTTTGATAGAGAGAGAAATATGACGGGGAAAACACGTTGGAATACGTAGTTTATTTACAATCTTATAAGATAGGTATTAGCGTGAGTACAGGAAAGTATTATAATACAAAAGTATTATAATACTTGCATTATACTACAAATCTCATCGTGTATACCGGCCTTTACACTTTGGCAAATGGCCTTATCGGGACATCATACTTTGGGGTAGCTGAGACATCCTTGCATTCAATGTCTTCTGAACAAATGCAAAATGCTGCTGCTGATAATGATGATAAAAATAATAATTATATTTTAAAAAACCCAAAGTAAAACGATACATCATAGGACTATCGGTGATTTGGGATACTTATAAGTACATGTGCGTAAATATGTTTGCATTCATGCACTGCACCTTACTATTTTGACAAATTGTTGAAACACCTGTTATTTACTAATTATTTACTAAAAGAAACTAGAAGAACAGTAGTCGATGGTGGGGGCTAAATCAAATGTTACTGTTTTGCAGCTTTTGATTGTTTGCTTGTTGTTGAACGTCTCCTATAGAATTTTTCATTCATTTTGAGATACCAACACTTGCCGGTGGCAAGCAACAAAATTACACCTTCACTCAGTTCTTAAGGACTTTGAGCCATAACACGGAAAATCGGTTTATACGGTCTCATCGAACCGGTCTCCACGCACCGAAATGGGATTTCTAAAGCGACGTAAGGATTCTCACTTAGCGACTTTAGAGCAAACGCTCTAAACCAAGCGCTATAAGCGGACAATCTTGACAACTTTCAAAACATCTGCAAAAGACACATTATTCACGTTTGCTAGAATAAGCATGTGTCACGTCTAAGAAGATTGTAACATGACGGAAATAGTGAGATATCGTAAACAAATGGAGATAGAACGAGAAATGGATAAGATAGATGTCATATATCTGTATTTTCAAACACAAAAGTGAGGTAGTAAAGTTCAGTTTATTGTTTGGGTTTCTTTGTAATTTTGCATTCCATACACTCGGTATGATGATTTCATTTATTGTAGTGCTCATTTTGGGATCAGGTAAGGAAACATTCAAATTTACTATTTGCTGATATTTTACGCAATTATGAGTAAATAAATTTTAAAGAAATAGATATTTTCTGTCTTTTAGCATTGGCTGATGAACCTGAGATCACTAATCAACGCCAAATATCCAGCAAACCTGGATTCCATAACGAAAAGAATGCAACCTCAACCAAAGATAATAATGCGTCGCATCCCCCATTAAACTTGAACAAAGATCCACTATCTACAAAATACCATTTTTTCCGGCCTCACATGAAAGGAGATATAATAAATCAATGGAGCCAGGATCCAATTACCTTTCGTCCACACAAAAAAGAAGAGAAATTGAATCATCTGAGCCGGGAACCAAATGTCTTTCATGCTCCTCTAGCTACAATGCTGGGTCACTTAATGAAGACGGGAAAGTTTGATGTTATCGCCAATTTTGTTCGACTGGAACTAGTTCGAAAAGGGGAAAAGGGACGACACCATCAACGCCCTTTTATGCCACCACCGGATCAATTATTGTATAATTACTACCCAAATCCATTGCAGGTATCTTTCCAACCCAAAAAATTAACTAACGAACCAATTAGAGAGCCTCAAGGTGCATTCGTCAAGCCATTACCTCAGTTCTCTGGTGCTCGTTCTGTACCCAGAGTTGAGGTTGCCCAGTTAATGTCCAAAGTATCTGCACCAGAAGGGACGTACGGTTTCATTATTCCAGAAATTTCAGGGCAAAGAATTCCAAGCGAACAATGGTTGTGGTCACCAGTCTCCGCAGAGTCTGTAGGTCAACCACAGCTTATGACAAATTCTGCCTCAGCAGGAAGCAGCAATATCAGCAGGCGTCCTGTGCAGGTTCCATTTGAAACGATGTATCAGCAATACCAAAAAATGCAAGATGATTCAAAGATTACTGAAAAATCTTATTCGCAACTTTCCAAAATTTACGAAATCTTGAACGCTTTGAAAACTATTAAGTCAGAAACTGGTGCTAAAGAGTTGCAAAACCGAAGCATATTGATGCCACTTTAAAAGCCAAATCCAACAGAGGAGGCTTTATGTACAATTTTTGAACTAAATTAGTCATAAAATTTTACTTTTTTGTTTGATCAAAATAACAGTTTTAATAGTAAAATATCATTCAAACATCTTTTTATTTAGTTTATTTTATCAAGAATTACAGTTGAAATTCTCATTTAAATCTGTGTTTAAGTTTACTTTCTCCCGAAAGTGCTTGGGTCAAAATTTCCAGCAGTCTGTGAGTTTGGATCAAAGTTTCCAGCAGCCATTGAATTTGGATTAAAGCTACCAGTTCCACCGGAACTTGGTTGGAAATTTCCGGTTCCACCAGCACTAGGTTGGAAACTTCCGGTTCCCCCCGCACTTGGTTGAAAGCTACCGACTTGTCCCCCACTGCTTACTCCAGTCTGGGTGTTAGACATGCCTCCAGGGTTAAAACTTCCAGCACTCATAGAGTTGGGGTTAAATGCAGATCCTCCATAACTGTGGGAATTTGGGTCATAATTTCCAGCGGCCATGTGATTTGGGTCAAATCCTGGAGCGCCGGAAGGAGAGAAAAGTTGTCGCTTAACTGGGCCTATAATTGAAAAATAGTCATTTTCTCACAATGCTTTTATTTTTTAGAACAGAAATTCATATTAAAAAAAAAACAAAAAAAAACCACCCAGCTTTTTATATACATTTGCATAGTAAAATCAATTATAAATTAACACTTACAAAATTTATTTTGTTCAATTCATAATTGATTATAAAATCCTTTTCTAAATCATTATTAGATATGTACACTTACTTGAAAAGCACAGTGGAATTAAAACGAGAATAATTGCACCCTTCATACTTTATTGGCGTTTTCTACTGTAGGAATAACTGTCTGACAAAATAACGCAAGGTTGGCGCTGTTATTACCTATTTTCCTACGTTCCATAAATTACCATAAAATTGATAAGATAAGAAGACTAAACATATAAATATAGATGTGTAAATAATTTTGGGAAAGTTGAAATTCATATGTTTGACCACCTTAAAGAATATTTGTGATTATTTTCCCAAGAATTGTAATAAATGCTCATTTCAAGTTACACAATTATATGAATAAATACTCCAGCTGTTTCTCAAAACATTGAAATAAAATCTAGATAATTTAAATAAGTTCAAGAATTCATGTCATAAATTAAAAAAAAAAAAGAGAACATACTTTCAGAAATGTTGAAATATTCTATCAAGGAATATCTGCAATAGCAGCTAGTGTTAGATATCCCATACTGCAATCCATATTTTCTTTGATATGATAGAAAAATCTCCAAGTGAATGAATTGCTAACTGTTGACTTAAAGTTACATGTACAAAACGAATCAAAACCATATTTGTTTTCAGATAATAACCTATACAGTAAAACTCGTTTAGTACGAACACAGATATTGAGAATTCACGGATGTAGCGAGGTTATCTTGGATCCCCAAGTATATGAATTTAATGAATTCCTTATATGGATATAACGAATTACGGAGGACTTCGTTATAACCGAGATTTACCGTATTATAAACCGATTTTATAAACTGCAAGAAAATTTATGAGATACAGTTGCAAAACACAAACGATTTTAGAGCTGCAGAACTGTAGCCCTCCGAAAAAAGATTTTGACAGGCCGGAGAGCTACAGTGCCACCCATTGTAAAAACTGTATATTTATTGCGCACAAAAAGTTGCGCTCAGTTCTTGATTATTCCTTCCAAATTCTTACGTCAATCGCGAAAAATATAGATTTAAAAAAAATCCTTACTCCTCTATGAAGTTATCTCGTGTTGACTTCTGCACGAACTGCGTTGGACCGAATTATCTTGCAAACCAATGTCGCAGTATACTGTAAAAGTACTTTTTTCCGCGTGGTATTAATTTACGCTATGTACGCGGTCACAAATTTTCCGCGGAAATTTGTCCAAGCATACTTAATATAAATGTAAGGCATATAGTGACAATCTAGAAAATCCGCGTAATTTTCTACCCGCGGATTAAACAGAAATTGAGATTCCGCGGAATTATGAACCCGTGGAAAAAAGTACGTCTACAGTAAATAGAAGAAATTTTCGATGATCTCAATTTCAGGGCCAGGAGGGCTATTAACAACAATTATAAGGAATGTTTTGTTGTGGAAACAGTGAAAGAATATGTTAGGAACACAAGTAATATTTTGATAGACAGTTTAAAAGCATGGAGAAATAATCGAGAAACAGCGCACTTTTTTGTGCGCAATAAATATACAGTTTTTTTTTTTCAATGGGTGGCACTGTTGCTCTCCGATCTGTCAAATATTTTTAGGAGAGCTACAGTTCTGCAGCTAACGGTTACATATATCATTTAAATATATCAGAATGCTGAATATATGAATGTACAATGGGAAAAAAGATATTCATTTTCAGAAGCACTTAGTGAAGTATCCCCCACATTAAAGTATGATTGTCAACAATATGAACCATGCGTTTTTATCGTGTATGTCAAGGTCACACATCTTTAATTGAGTTGGAGCATGCATATTAGACTCTTTTGAGAAGTTTGCATCAAACATTGTCAAAATTCTTGGTCTACCGACATTCATTTTTCTGGTACTTTAGATATGTTAATTTCAACTTTTCTGCACAAGCTTATAATATGGAAAAAGAATTGAAACAATATTTTTGTCATGTGCCAGACAATTTTTTTTCTCCATGAAGGCAGATTTTTTGTAGGTTCCATAACTTGTTATTTTCTGAAAGCTAATTTTTTTTTTCAAGAAGAGAATAAAATTGTATGGGTATTGTTTGTCAATTTTCCCGTAAGTGCGTCATGTGTCATTTTAAGTATAAAGAAAACAGTGATCTGCCTTATAGGGCCTACAGAAAAAAGTACTCAACAGTCCTTTTTAGTGTATTTTGACTAAAATACACTAAAATTATTTAAAATTGACCCTTTCACAGGTGGTGTTAACGTTTTTTGATAAATTATTGATAACACATATGATAAAGGTCAAAGTGGTTAATTTTCAAATTTTGTCAAAATAAAATTTTATTGACTTGTAATTAAAGCTGAACACGATTTGTAAAAGGAATGTATCCGCCATATTCGATTGTTCACGCGCTTTATCTTAGGACCTTTATATATAGCCGCTTATAACGGCGTACTTCTTCTATAAAGCGGGAAAGAAAGATACCAAAGAAACTTGCATCTTACGCATAGGTCAATGTAGTATACAAAATAAATACACATAACTGCAATAAGTATTAACAAAGGTAATGCAAGATTACCAGCACGTGTCGCCATTCCACGCCGATATTCGTGAAAATAAGCAGTCAGGTGTGACGAAAGCTAAAGATATACCCCAGTGCTGATATCGTAGAAAGTATTATCGAAAATGGCGTATGCCTATTTACGAGTCGTGTTCAGCTTTAACCCAATGGTACAATTATCTCCCAATACAGGTGAAAACAATTATCCTCTGAATATGTTGTAAAGTAACCTATATCAAAAAGTGAATATTGTTACCTATGTCGAATAATGCACATATTTTCCTATATCGAATTGTGCATAATGTTACATATGCCGAATAGTGCACAAAGTTTCCTATATCGAAAAGTGCTTATTGTTATCTATGTCGAATAGTACAAATATAGTAACATTTCGAAAAGTACACATTGTTTCTAGGTTGAATAGTGCACATAGTTTCCTATGTGGAATATTGCACATAATTTTCTATATCGAAAAGTGCACATTGTTATCTATGTATAAAAGTACACGTAATTTCCTATGTCTATAAGTGCACATTGTTACCTATGTCGAATGGTGCACATAGTTTCCTATGTCGAATAGTGCAGAAACAATGACAGAGCTTAATCTATGACGGTGTTATCTTTAACAATGGACAAGCAGTCTATATACAATAATGTATATAGAACTATTCCACGGAGTTAATCGCTTGTAATTTCTGGGAAAATTTAACTTTACATTTTTAATTATATTAAAGGTGTAAACTTTCATATTGAAAACTGATTTTATGTGTTTGTATTTTACACACCTTCTTTCAAGACGTTTGACTTGAAAAACTACAATAGAATAGGAAGTTTTGGAGCTGTTTACATGTAGATGTGTAGAATTCTTTTTAAATACTTGTAGGTGATCACACCGCTTTCCAAAAAGTATTTTTTATGTGATTTGTTTATTGTCGTTGTTGATTTTTAAAACTATTTCGCAAAAGTAGGATTATTTACAAGTAAATTATATAAGACTCCATATGATTTATTTCTTTCCAAATGCATTAGGATCAAAATTTCCAGATCCTGAACCAAAACCATTAAGTGCGTTGGGGTCAAATGTTGGAGTCTGGAATCCGTTGGGGTCAAATGTGCCCATACCAGAATCTGGCGTACTGAAACCTCCACCTGCAATGAACAATCACAAAATAAAATTCTTCTATCCTTGCACCATATATAGAAGCAAAAAATTGCTACACTTCAGTAATAGAAACATTATTGTATATTTACCAAACCCACTTCCACCAAAACCATGGTTGAGGGCATTTGGATCAAATGCAGCATGAGTTGACGCCATGTTCATTCCGAACCCCCCGCTGCCAAAATTTTGGTTTACTGCATTGGGGTCAAAAGGTGCTATAAAACAAAAATCTGATAGATTACCAGACTCACCTGAGACAACGTCCTCTGATATGTATACGTTTTATATGAAATTCGCCATTTTTTAGCTACAAATTAAGCTCTCGTCCTTCTCTTAAGGGACATGATTTGAACAAATCGGTTTCTACACTTCAAGACGTTTTGCTATCGATTACTGCCTCGTTCTTCCTAAATTTATTTTTTTACATTCATTCTTTCTATATATTCCAATGTAAAACCATTACCCTTTTATGACCCCATCCCGGCCTATCGCCTTGAATATGAACCTACACTCAGTAAAAGAAGAGATGTTCCTTAGTTAATATATTTAATTTTCCATCATCCATAGATGAATGGTGCAAAGTTTTGTGAAATTGGCAATGTGATTCTTGAGAAGACAATAAAAACGTGAAAAGTGAATATACGTGTACGTAAATGAATACAGATAAACGCTGGAAAATTGACACCAAACAACTTCGTTTTAGCCTTCGGCGAAATCAATTACTTAAAAATATGGGGAAAATTCTTTTGATTGCATTACCGTTTTGTGCCAAATCTCAAAATAAGAATAGAGGATTGACACTGCATAGAGGATATTTTAAATACTGTACATAGATATTTTTTGGTTGAAATTCAACTTCCGATATTTCTATCCCAGAATAAAAGTCTATTAAATATACTGTTGTTGAAATGTAATAATGATATAAAAATAAGAGGGAAATAAATCAAATTACAAATTAATCAGATGTATACAATAATCAAAACTTAATTGAAATGTATAATATATTCTTTTCCAAGAATGACAAAAAAATTAGACTTTTATATATATTGCTGATAAAAAAAAAGCCATTGTTTCAAAAAAAAGTTTTGAAATACTGAATGATTACCCCCAAGACACAAAGAGATCAGGCCTAACAGAGCCAGGAATATTCCAGCCATATCAACAGTCCGAGATTTTAGAGTGGGTTTCTTATCACACACGTGAAATGTTAAAGACCTCTGAGACTAGTATCAGTAGCGAATAAAATTCTTCATTTGTACTAGTGTGTTTTATGGTTTTTTGTTTTCTGTAATTACTCTCTGTTTTCCTGAGCAGTAAATTGAATTCACGTAAAAGCTTATATATTTCGATAGTTTGATTAAAGGTCTGTATTAAATTATTTAAAAAATTGATTTAAAATACAAAGCATAATTATACAAAGCCAAGAAAGGCAAATAATCCATTCATTTTTTTTTTTAAAATTCCCATAACATTCCATACATCTTTCAGGCATAAAACCTCTAGCAAATACATGTGTCCAAAACATTCTCCAAGCAAAACATATCTACTATACTATTGCCAAATGGTTAAACAAGGGGGTAGACGATGTTTTAGTTAACTATAGCTGCAGAACTGTAGCTCTCAGAAAAAAAAAATATTGACAGACCGAAGAGCTAAAGTACCACCCATAGAAAAAAGTAAATACCCGTATTTATAAAAAGTGCGCCGTTTCTCGATCTTTTTCCTCCGTGTTTTTCAAACTGCCATCTCAAAATATTACTAACCCCATGTTCCTAACATATTCTTTAACTGTTTTACACAAACATTGTTACCATAAAAACATTTCGTTTCTACTTCCATTTTGGGTGGCAAGATAATTCAGTAAAACGCGCTCGACTCGATGTCAACTACAAGCGTATTTGAGTTCAGGTAAGATTTCAAGAAATTAATCCAGAACCGAGCGTAACTTTTTGTGCGAAATAAATGTACAGTTTTTGCTATGGGTTGCACTGTAGCTCTCTGGTCGTCTATGCCAATTTTTCAGACCAGCGAGCTGTAGATCTGTAGCTAGTTTAAATAATGCTTTATAACGCACCAGCTGATGAACTACCCCTGGGTATCGATGAAGGACACTTAAATCTTTTTTTAACTCCTATGAAGTAAATCTTGAATGTATACAGTTGACAAGTAAGCTTTCTATCTTTTATTAGCAAAAACCTTAAACAGTACACTGACATACACCTTTCAGGCCGTATTATTCTTGAGAATTCCCTGGCTTTGTATTTCTTCATTAACTTTTTACTGCCATTAACCCTACTAAGTGAAAGGTTAACCTACTGTCTCCGTAAACTTCAACTCTTCGTGCGGCAAACATCGGCTGACTCCGTCACCTTCTTTTAACAAGATGAGTTACATGTACATGTACGAATCGGCCGAGGTGTGCCGAGATCAGAATTCGAAACAAAGGAAAAACGAATGAATACAAACTACAAGGCTTGCATCCCATAAAGATCAATTATATTTACAATTGAAATATTGAAAAGCTCTTTAGTTATTGTTGTAAAAGAACAGTCATGTTATTTAGAATTCATTACTGCTTATTTCCACTGTTTGATTTGCCGCAATTTTTTACAATTGAAAATCTTGAAAAATTGTACGAAAATTATCTCCTTTGCCTTGAACAGCATTCCAACCAATGAAATAATTAAAATTTACTCATCATGCAATCACAAAAGAGAGGAAGTGCATAGTCCGAAGACTAAAAAACTTCAAATCTGTATACAGTCTTCTAAGATGGTAATATTGGACACTTTTTGAATAGTAATCTCATTTGGAAGTGAAATAAATTGAACGTATTGGTACTACCTTATTGTGTGAAACCATGTATTGATATACTCAGTAGTATTTTCTGTTTATATATAACTACATATTTTCAATTGGTTTAAATATTTCACTTTGGTTTTGATAAAAATAAATGATTCATTTAAACACAAAAAGTTGAGATACGCAAGCCACAAAAAGAGATCATAACCATTCTATGTACAGTTTCTTATGCTCTAATAGTTCGCGAGATTAGTTATCCTTCTTTAATTCATGAAATCTCTTCAATCTTCCAAACAAATAAACATCTGCTAGTGTACTGTTTTTCAGGTGAATATAAGTCGCACATACTAGACGGTTTGATACCGTAAGCACGCCTAGCTAAACTTGGGTAACATTATCATCATTTGGTATCATCAGTAGATAATAATGGCAGTCCCTCTGTTCTCGAAATGATGTTCACCAACGGCCATTTCTTCTTCTTATAAACACATTCAGTTCTTTTTGTAGAGATTAATTAAGGCTATGGATTTTATAAAAATCACCATTATATTTTTTTTAGTCACAGGTAAGAAAAATTTATTCAGAAATTTGGTAAATACTTCAAAGAAAACGTCAAAATGTTAATCTAGCTCAAATAAATTAGATTTCTTTTAGTAAAAATTTGACATATGTGTGATTATATAGCTTGATTATCATGGAATGCACAGTAATAGCATTGGAAAAATTATATTTTGTCATAATATTATCATGATAATTTTTACAGAATACAGTTGCATTCCATTGCCCGGGTTAGAAGGATTGTCATCATCTGGTTCCAATGTATACAAATCACAAATACCAACCGACGAAAATATTCAAAACTTTATCAACGAAGGAGCTGATTTCAACGCAATTTTAAATCCCAAAACGAAACAAAAATACCAGACTAAAGATTCAGCTTCTAGTATGCCGATTGTAGCGCAATCAAACTCGCTCCTGAACTTGTTGGAAAATATAAATGGAGTTCAACTTTTGAAATTATTAAATAACATGATAAAGTCACCAAACGGAGAACAAACCGTTTTAACCAACAACGAGATGAAACCTCATGAAATGAATAAAAATCCCTCCGATGCAGGATCTGCGAACAATCAGGAGATTCATCGATATTCATCAATAAGTCCTAGCACTACAAGAATTCCCTCGAAAAACATTTCCCGAATTCCCTCTGATGCTAGTCGACAAGACTTACAAATAAAGAATATGCAAACAACTGGTTCCGGTGCAACAACTAATGGTGGTGATGAGAGTACAGATGAGCATAAACTGTTACATTCATCTGGAACACATAAGCCGCTATCCTCTATACCCTCCGGCACAAATGAAGTGAATCTCCCTCAAGGCTTTACTGGTGGGATAAATTCTGGTGTAATGGGGGTTCAGGCACTGAATACCAACAACAACGCAGGCATGTATAACCTAGCTCAGCAGTACACCAACCCTATGTCGATGTTAGCTGCAGGGATGGGTTCGACAGGAGGAGGAGGAAGCCTGGACAACGTGGAGTCTTCTCCAAACACAGTTGATAATGAGGCTCCACAAGTGGGAAAGACTCCTGGATTTGATCCCAATCGACTGATGAGCTCTTGGGCAAGTACAAATAACTTCAACCCCGGAGAGTATAACGTTGGACAAAACTTTATATCAACAGACGAATGGACAAAATATGCAAATCAACCCACTGGTTACACTGGTTTGATGCAACATATAACTCAAAACACAATGGGGAGCAACAGCAAAAAAGAAAATCAAGAAAAGCATACGGAAAACAAATTTCCACAAGAGCATTTTCAAACACAAGGATCGTCTCTGGACACATATCAAAATTCGGCATTGACTGCAAAAATGAATTTTGCTCCAAATAACATGATTATGCCTGTGTCAAATCCTCAGATGCCGAAATTACCCATAAAATTCAACTTTGATCCCGATAGTTTGAATTCATTTACAGGATCCTTTCGGCCTGGGCAGTTTGCACCTGTACCTGCAGCTAATGTAGGGGAAACAGACTTTGGTACGAATGTTATAAAACATCATTTATCAGGCTTTCCAGATAAAATGCTTTCAAAGCACAATCAACAACTTCAAAATTTAAAGAAAACAGAATATCAGAAATCTCCCGAGATTCCTAAATTTAAACCAAGTAAAAATGCATTTGAAAATGTTCATATGGGGTTTAGTCCTGATTTTTTCGTAGGACCAATATATCAGTCTTCGAAGAAAATACCACACGTGAGTGATGCACAAAGAGCAAAGTTAGAAAATCGAAGCGATCATAAATCTGTTAAAAGCAAACTCTTAGTTTTAAAAAGAGATCAGAATGTTGTTTCTACCACAAGTACCTCTAGATCAAATTTGACCGTTCAGACAACAACACCCTCTGCTTCTACTACCACAGATAAAACTATAACAACTCCTGATACCTCAAAGACTACATCCCTTGTAGACATTGGGGGATTCAACCCGGATGAAGTGAACAGACCGGTTATGTATAACCCAGGTATGTCACCAGGAATGAGTGTTGAATCATTCCAAAATTTTCAGTACAGTCCTCAACATCATAGAGTCAATTCAACTTCAACAGGTCAAACCTTTCAATTTACTGGTATGGGATTTTATCCATCAGAGGTCAATAATGCAAAGATGAATTTTGATGTTAATTCGCAACTCGGTATCCCAGGTGGATCTTCATCGGTTAGTGGACAAACCTTTGGTGGAGGTTACGATCCCATTAAAACAAATATTCTAGCCATCCAAAATCCATTCTCTACCAACAATCAAACTCAAGGGCCATCTTTCACGGCTGGTAAGGTGTCTGGATTTGGATCTGCCTTCATTGGTTCCTTCAATCCCAACAGTGTAAATGAAGGTATGATGAAGGATCTGTTGAACTCCCAGGCAAACAGTAACAGTAGTGGGAATTATTTCGGTATGGGAATGACTGGCTTTGACACGTCTGGATATGGAGGTAATTTCGACCCATCATCAGTAAACAATGCTGTTTTCAATCCAAATGAAGTAAACAATATTAAAATGCACTTTGATCCAAGCGAGATGTTGGATAAAAACCCCGGATACGACACCGATAAAGCGCTGGCATATAAGTTTAATCCAAATAACATTAATAACATGCAGGCAAATTTTCAGCCATTATTTCTACAAAATAACAACGTCCATGAACCTACAAATAGCACTCATGATCCCAAAACCAATCCCTATAATGGCGCTAATTTCGTACCTGGTTTACTTGGAGGAGGAAGCAAAAATGAAATCCCAATCTTTAATCCAGCAACAGTGAACAATGCTCACATGAACTTTTCCCCAATCGGAGTGAATAACCTCCCAGACATGCCAAAAAATAACAGCAAGACGAGCAATACTACCAACTCATCAGATGAATCATATTCTTTCTTTAATCCTAATGACATGATTTCCAACATGAATAACCATCCTGCCGGAATTATGAATTCTGTTGAAACACCAAACAAAGAGAGTCGGTCAGAGAATGCTTTTGTCCCAGGTTTACTAGCAGGTGGAGAGGGCATTCCCGAAAGTGACAAAATAGAACGAAAAAACGAAAAAGAACAACCTCGAAGTTCGAGTTTGAGAGATATTTAATGCCAACAATTCGATGTTTTTTTCCTTACTAAATAAAGCTATACTGAATATATATATATTCTCGATTACTTATTTGCTACGTTGAGGTTATGTTTGTAAGTATGGACAACCTATAATTCTAGCTGTATAAGTAATTTTTATACAGTTTAATTTTAAACACGAAAACATATCACCGAAATTTGAACAAGCAAGTCGTATTCTACGTTATCAGAAACAAAAGACAACCAACAATAAATAGAAGTATGTGATGTGACAATATCATTGATATTTAAAACAAGAGAAAGAATTAACTCTGTCGTTTTGAGTTGGACTTATATCGTTCACCTGTCTAACAACTTCCGAGGACTATTTCTTATCGTTACCTCGTGAGCTACTGATGATAAGATTTAGTACCGTTTAATTAAACACAGGTCTTCAACGTTTGACACAAATATATCGCATTGTTACATGATAATTACGGGAAACGAACGCATCTGAACCAACATAAGTGTAGACACATATCAGTCTCTCGTGGAATTATGTGGCTGCCATTAATATTAACGGTAGCTTTAATTACCACTTGTGCTAGCCGTGACCTCAGAGGTAGAAAATTTATTAATTCTCTAATTCAAAGAAATTTGAATGAAATTGACTGATAGAATTTAAACATTTTAAAAATATTTTATTGAGTGCTTCGCTAGTGAATGTATGTAATTGATAATTTTGTTTATGTTTGCTTATTTTTTTCCTTTTAAAAATGTTTTCGAGATATTATTTGTATACAGTCCGCCAAACACAATCAGGGAGCACAAGCAGTGGAAGTACTTCCGGAAGTGGCTCTAGTTCCGCTTCAAGTCAGCCCAGTGGGGGATCTAGTTCCGGTTCTGGCCAGCAGCTTTCACAAAATATGCAGCCGCCATCATTTTTACTCAACCCTTCACAATTTATGAGTGGCTCAAGTGCGTATGTATCAATATGAATGAGCAATTAAGTCTACCAGATAATTTTTTACAAAATAAAGATTGATACTAGCATAATTAAGACTTAAACAAGTAATGAAACACATTTATCTAAGGTGTTATTATATAATGGTGTTAAGATTTCTTTGGCAGATCCTCTCCATCAAATCCCGGTGCGGGTAGTGGAGGATCTAGTGGTTCGTCGAGTAGCGGATCCAGCAGTGGAAGTTCATCTTCACCTTCCTCTAGCAGTGGGAGCTCATCTTCTCCATCCTCTAGCAGTGGAAGCTCAACTTCATCTTCCTCTGGGAGTGGTAGCTCAACTATCCCAAAGTTTGATCCTAACAAAGTCAACCAAATTCAAGCAAGCTTTTTAGATCCGTCCAAACTACAGCTTGGACCATCTGGCGGTGGTGGAGGTGGATTTGATCCCGACCAGTTTAATAGCATGTCATTTAATTTCTTTAATCCCGGTGCACTTTTAAGTGGCGGTGGAAATCAAGGACCATCCGGAAGGCGTAAGTTGTTTTTGTTTATCAGATGGTTTTACAAAAAGAATGTTCGTTTCATTTAATAGTAGTAATAAGAAAAGAACTTTTTTATTGAGCTTATTAAAAATTCACTGAATATGCCCTATAATAAGGATTCTTGTATTATTTTTTCATTTTGTAAGGGAGAAGACAAGCGGCAAGTTCTGGGGGTAGCAGCAGTAGCAGTGGAGGAGGTGGAGGTAGCAGTCCACCAAAGTATGATCCAAACAGTGTCAACAAACTCACATCAAACATGCTAGACCCATCCTCTTCTAAACTTGGAGCCAGTAACGGTGCCGCTGGTGGATTTGATCCAGATCAGTTTAATACAATGCAGTTCAACTTTTTCAACCCCAACCAGATGTCTGGTGGTGGCGGCGGCGGTGGTGGTGGTAGCAGTGGAAGCAGCGGGAGTGCACCAAAGTTTGATCCAAACAGTGTCAACAAAATCCAGGCCAATATGCTGGACCCGTCTACTTCTAAGCTTGGAGCCAGTGGTGGAGCAGCTGGCGGATTTGATCCCGACCAGTTTAACACTATGTCCTTCAATTTCTTCAATCCTCAAGCACAAGTTGGAAAGAGAAGTAAGAATTTGAGTTCGTATTCCTAAATTTTTAACAGAAATTACAGAGCTCACCTCAACTAATGTTGTCTTTAGAAAGGCAAAGTCCCATACTAAACTGATACTCTGGTAGTGTACATCCCAAGATGCAGCATCTATGCCAGTTTGGTTCAGGTTTGTCTTAATGTTATTTGGGAATGAACCTGCTCTTTAAACTTGAACCTGGTCCCTTTTCTGGAAAAAAAGTAGCTCAAATTCAGAAACTATATCAACCTTGATAGTGTGCATCAATAAATGCGACTTTATTGTAATATTGGTTAGCATAGGGCTTGTAGTCACTTTGCAAATAAACTACTCCGAAAACTATAGAATGGTCACTCATCTGGATAACTGAGGTCAAAAACAACGCTTTAGCAAGTCCGGTAGTACGCATCCTTAGATGCGTCATCCTAGTTTTGTCAGCATAGGGCTTTTTGCAATTGTTATTTGAAAATAAGACCTGCTCCAAAACCATTAATTTATAGCTATCTAGAAATGTACAGATCCAGCATCCAAAACAATCCACTTATCTGGAAAATATAGGATAGATCCAGCATCCAAAGCAAACCAGGTAGTGTTTATCCTTGGATGTATCATCCATGTAAATTTGGTCAATATAGATCTAATAAAAACTTGGAAATTAGATCTGATCCAAAAACTTTCACCTTGTCACTCATCCGGAAAATGTGGGTCAGGTCAAGCATCCGAAGCAAGACTCATAGTGTACAGTTTTAGATGTATCATTTGTGTAAATTTGACCCAAATAAGGTTTATAGTTACTTGGGAATGAGACCTGATCCAAAAATATTCACCTGCTCCAAAAACATTAACCTGGTCCTTATTTAGCTGAAATTGTAACATCTGAAACCTTGACTGGTACAATGAAACATTCTACAAACATCTTCAATGCATCTCAGCTCAATTCAGGGCATAAAAGAATTTGATAAGAAATCTGCTCCAAAAAACTTTAACATAAGACGCCGACGGTTTTACATTAGCTTCTCCAACTTCGATGAGGTGAGCTTATTATTCGCTGAGGTGAGCTTAAAAAAGAGAACATTGAGCAATTTATATTTCGTCCATAGGCCTCTTAAAACGTCAGAGCTCTCCATCTGGCCCGAGCAGTAGTGGTGGAAGCAGCGGAAGTAGCAGTGGTGGAAGCAGTCCACCAAAGTATGATCCAAACAGTGTCAACAAACTCACATCAAACATGCTAGACCCATCCTCTTCTAAACTTGGAGCCAGTAACGGTGCCGCTGGTGGATTTGATCCAGATCAGTTTAATACAATGCAGTTCAACTTTTTCAACCCCACCCAGATGTCCGGTGGTGGAGGCGGCGGTGGTGGTGGTAGCAGTGGAAGCAGCGGGAGTGCACCAAAGTTTGATCCAAACAGTGTCAACAAAATCCAGGCCAATATGCTGGACCCGTCTACTTCTAAGCTTGGAGCCAGTGGTGGAGCAGCTGGCGGATTTGATCCCGACCAGTTTAACACTATGTCCTTCAATTTCTTCAATCCTCAAGCACAAGTTGGAAAAAGAAGTAAGAGTTATAGTTCGTATTCCTTAAATTGTTAAAAGAGATTACAGAGCTCACCTCAACTAATGTTGTCCTTTAGAAAGGCAAGACTAACCATACTAAACTCATTATCCTTGGATGCATCATCCATGCAAGTTTGGTCAATATAGATCTAATAGTTACTTTGAAATTAGGTCTGCTCCAAAAACTTCCACCTTGTCACTCATCTGGAAATGTGGGTCAGGTCAAGCATCCGAAGCAAGCATGGTGGTGTACATCCCTAGATGTATCATTTGTGTACATTTGGTCAAACTAAGGTTAATACATATGGCTACTTGAAAAATGCAACCTGATCCAGACTTAAACCTGCTCAAAAAGCATAAAACAAATCCATATTTTGCTGAAACTGCAACATCTGAAACCTTGACTGGTGCAATGAAACATACTACAAACATCTCCAATACATCTCAGCTCAATTTAGGACATAAAAGTACTTGATAAGAAATCTGCTCCAAAAACTCTAACATAGGACCTCGTTGTAGTGAGCTAATAATGATTTGAACTTATAAAAAAGACAATATTGAGCTATCTATATTTCTTCCACAGGTCTCTTAAAACGTCAGAGCTCTCCATCTGGCCCGAGCAGTAGTGGTGGAAGCAGCAGTGGTGGAAGCAGTCCACCAAAGTATGATCCAAACAGTGTCAACAAACTCACATCAAACATGTTAGACCCATCCTCTTCTAAACTTGGAGCCAGTAACGGCGCGGCTGGTGGATTTGATCCAGATCAGTTTAATACCATGCAGTTCAACTTTTTCAACCCGAACCAAATGTCTGGTGGCGGTGGTGGTGGTAGTGGCAGTGGTGGAAGCAGCGGGAGTGCACCAAAGTTTGATCCAAACAGTGTCAACAAAATCCAGGCCAATATGTTGGACCCGTCTACTTCTAAGCTTGGAGCCAGTGGTGGAGCAGCTGGCGGATTTGATCCTGACCAGTTTAACACTATGTCCTTCAATTTCTTCAATCCTCAGGCACAAGTTGGAAAGAGAAGTAAGTACTTTGTTCACATTTTGAAAATGATTTTAGTTTTATTTAAATTGTTTCTCTGATGTTTATACTGATGTTCTTTTTATTAAGATCTTCGAAGACGTCAGACCTCACAAACATCAACTGGTTCCAGTGGGTCAACATCTGGATCATCAACCAGCGGCGGTTCAAGCAGTAGTTCATCTTCCGGTGGCGCTTCTCAGATGATGAGCCCAAGCATGTTTATCAACCCCAGCAATTTTTTAATGGGAGGAAACTCTGGAAGCAGTAGTGGAGGAAGTTCCCCTTCGTCAACTTCTTCCTCCTCCCCTTCCACCTCCTCCTCTTCTGGTGGAAGTGCACAACAACCTTCCTTTGATCCAAACAAAGTTAATCAAATTCAGTCCAGTTTTCTGGATCCTTCAAAGGCACAGCTCGGTTCGGGTGGCTCAGCGTCAGGAGGATTTGACCCTGATGCAGTCAATACTCTGTCATTTAACTTTTTCAATCCTAAAAATCTTCTTGGACGTTAAGAATAAACAGACAAAGAAAAAAGTTCTTTTATTGTAAAAACGATCAGTTTATAACAAAACTTGTTTTTACTTTCCAGATCTGGTTTTCTTTTCAGAAAAAAAGAGAACAACAATATTCATATGAAATTTATTGCAATGAGCTTATGATATCTAGATCCTTCTTACTGAGTGAAAAGACCTGGTTATTAAATGATAACTTTTTAAAATTGTCTTCTGAATGAGAAAATTACGATGGCGAATAGATTTCGAATTAGCAGTACGAATGGAGAGCCATTTTACCCTGGTATGATACCAATAAATGTGATGAAAAATTCACCTCTAGGTTGTATTATTGAAATGTATTACTATAACTCTTATCTGTGAAAAAACGAAATATAGAACAGTTTTATGAAGTTGTCTAACAATTAATTAATCAAAATCACATTATAACTAAACGTCAAATTTTATCACGAAAAATTTACATCTGAAAAAGTCGTTAATAAACATATCAAAACAACCTTAAAACTGCTTCAAATATAATTCATTGCAAATTTCTATTGGTATGATATAAATTTTGATAACACTACTGAATCAATTTACTATTGGGTCACATACAATTGTCCTTGACACTAAATAAGGCGTGATAAAGGGAATGATATACGATAGATAAGGCACATTACATGTTTCCGGTTCTCACAGCTACTCTACTAAGACTGATATGTCATCATGCCAAGGTACAAGAAAAGTCTCAGGAAGAGTTTATTTCCATAACAGAACCACTTTTATCGGTGGAATGCAGTATCTATAAAAAGTGCCAAAGTCTTGCAGTGCTCCTGACGCGTTTTCCTGATAATGGAATAAAATTGGTGCATGGGAATGCGTATATGCATATTCCACACCTATATGACCTTTACAAACAATAAAAGCTTGATGATTCTTTTCACTACAATTACAATGAATGTCATATATCTTTAAATCATTAAATTTTAAGTTTTTGTTAAAAAAAATTCGAATATTATTTTTTTTTCATTAACTTGAGATACATGTTTATTAAAATGAGAGTAGCTTTATGCTATTTTGCAAAGGATATATACATCATATCAAGTGCTACAAATTTCATTCTGCTGTGTTTGAGGACATACGCAAGATACCTTACCTACTGATAATTTTTCAAGATATTCTAAATTTAAACTTATAATACCATTACATGTTCCTAGACAAACAATCAGCATACGTTACCAGGGGTTCTGAAAAGATATCAAATTGTGAAAATTTTTGCATTATTCAAAGAAAAATGTACAAAAATTACAAAACATAAATTACAGATTTTTTTTCATCAAAAATTGTTTTAGAAGAGGTGTACAAATCCATATACATGTATAGACATTAAAATTATTGCACACAGGTCCTTCATTTAGTGGAACTCTTCAACTTCGGGGAAGATTCCAATAAAGTTCAAACTACATTGGGTATGACCTTAACTACTACTTTTGTGAAAGTTGCATTTGATTTCTATGTTAAGAAGAACAAGGAAAAATTTCAATCATTTTCCATTCAATCTTTTATAGGGGAAACTTATTATTTTTATTATTCTACTCTGTAGAGTAACGTTCAAAGACCAAAGATCTCGGTCACTCAGGTCTTTGGACAAACATATACCGTTTCGGTTTAGTCGTATTTTTCATACAAACGAAGAAATGATATTAATTCTATTTACTATAAGAGGGTCTAGTAAAGCTTTAATACTGTGGTTTCATAAATATTCGTTAAAGGCAGAGATTTTAAGCACCGCCTTCAAAAATACCTGGTCTGGGTAGCCCTGTCAATCAAGTGCATGGAGGTCCATCATTGGATGCTGCAACTTGATTGACATCTACTTACTGGTCCCTGTGTATACCCTGTACACCTTGTTTGGGACTTGGAGGGACTTTCAAATAAACTTTTGATCCTTTGATGTTTACATGGTATAGAGAAACTGTATTTCTATGATTTTTTTTTAATTTTTTTAAATAGATTTTTTTAGATTGATAATACATGAATTAAATAAACCTTAAGTATTTGAAAGGATTATGAAATAATATGGATTTTAAAAAAATTAACCTTTGGTACATAACACTTATTTTTTTCAAATGAAATTTCTTTATTAATTTTGATATGCTAATTTTAAATGGTAAACCTAAAGTGGAAATGTTCTTGAAAAAGTTCAGAGCAGCACTGTGTGAAGTAATTAAATGTAGAAAATATTTATTAATGTTTCTAATCATGGGTCACTATATTTTCCTTTTTTTTATTCTGATAAAAATTTACAAGTAATCTTTTTTAACGTTTCATGGTGACAAACACTTATTAAGGTTAGGACAAACCTAGATATTTCTTAATGAAATGTACTTAACAAGACTTTCTTTTCATTTAATAGATGAGATCCTGGGAATGAATGAAGTCAAATTTGGTTTTTACAGCAGTTTTTTTTTTAAATCATCACATACACTAACATCTAAAATAATCTTTATTTCAATATTTGAAATAATAGCATGATATATCATGATTTTTTTGTAATGTTTAAGGGTGTTTTCAAACATTCAAAAATGAATCAAGAAACCCTTTTACTATACTAAATTAATTTAAAATTGTCTCAAAATCCCCAAAACAGGTAAAGTTTGACATCTGGGTATTTCACTGTGTATTAAATTACTTCGTGTGTATAGGTATTAGGAGACAAACGACCACAGGTAGACTGCTAGCCCCAAGGCATTCACACCTGTACAAAATAAGCCCCTCCCTCACCTGGAATTTACCACCCGGTAAAAAATAAAATCTCTGCCTTTAAGCACCAATTTTCGAGGATTACGTTGTTGAGGAGATCCACGAAATTCAATGTTCACTGAATTAATAAAGATGTTATACATTTGTATATGCAACGCTTTTGTTCAGGAAATTACGTATCCTCGAAAACAAATTCACGAAAATTGATTCCTACGAAAATTGAAGAAACCACAGTAGTTAATAGTTGTGTTTGGGAAAAATGATGTTAGGTACAACATTCACAAATTTTTAGTACAAGAATTCTGAAAATCTAGCATTTTTTTTAAAATGAGGGAAGTACACCCCTTCTCTAAAATAAATCCCTCATATATATTATAAAAGTACATATAATTCTTGAAGATTTGAATGTTAATACAAGCCTTTACAATTATTGATACGAACCAAAAAAATATCCGAGAAGAATACTAATTAGAAAGAGAGAAATTTGATATCCGTAGTTAAATGTCTATGAACATGCATGATCGATTCCATAACATGTCTTATCTATAACGTTACCATGATATTGTAGTTGTTGATCTTGGCCTCATAGCCTAAAATTACAGAAATAAAATGCTGCCAAATTTCCTTTTATTAACTTTGATACATTCTATAGCAGCCGTACCCGTTCGGTATGTTTTGGATGTTCAGAAACTTTTTTCTGGTAAGTGTAAATCGTCTCTTGCAACTTTTCAAAAAAATTGATGTTATAAAAGAATGAAGTTGAAGATTTGAAGAATGATTGTTGAATGGTAGATGAATTGAATAATTAGATGGTACTTTTAATTTTATTTGAATATTTTTTGTTTTATATCATCAATCAATCAAAGCTGGATCGGTCCAAAGAAGACAAACATTTGATCCTAACGCCATGATGTTTGCAGGCGGAACTTCCTCCTCCGGTTCCACATCCAGTAACTCCCAGTACATAGGATCCTTCAACCCTAACCAAATGATGAGCAGCATGGGAAGCGGAATGAATATGTTTAATCCTGGTTCTCAATCCGGTGGACAGACTTCGTCACAATCATCAGGTTCCACGGCAACGTTTGATCCTACAAAACTCAACAACCAGTTAAGCAGCTCGTCTGGATCCCAGACCAGTGGAATGGGTGGGGGATTTAATCCAAATCAGATGATGGGTGGTGGAGGTAGTGGAACATCCACACAACAATCAAGCTCTGGCGGAACTCAGTCCGGAAGTACAAGTGGAACAAGCAGCTCAGGAACTGGGACCTCGGCATTTGGTGGTAGTTTTAATCCAAACCAACAAGGTGGAGCTCAATTCAACAATCAACTAAGTAGCTCTACTGGGTCCCAGACAAGTGGTATGGGTGGGGGATTTAATCCAAATCAGATGATGGGCGGTGGAGGTAGTGGAACATCGAGTGGAACTCAGTCCGGAAGTACCAGTGGTACAAGCAGCTCAGGAACCTCAGCATTTGGTGGTAGCTTTAATTCAAATCAGCAAGGTGGTTCTCAGTTCACAAACCCCATGTCACAAATGGGAGGCGGGCAGGGAGGGGCATCATCATCCCTCGTTCCAAATTATAACCCCAATAACGCTGCAGTAAATATGGCAGGCGGGTATGATCCAAATGCAGCTAACTCCGGACAGGGGACTGGAGGCAACACCCCAACTTTCACCAACGGAATGGGAATGAATGCTAAGCAGCAGTCGATGGGAGGAGGTTCGATGCCAAGTGGAAATGGCATGACACAGCAATCGGGAAGTGGAAGCGCCATGCTACAAAGTGGTACGAGTAGTGGAGGTGCCTCGTCATTTGGAAGTTCAACAAGCTCAGGAAGCAGTTCCACTGGAAGCAATACACCTGGAAGTGGAAGTGCGTCCTCCTTTGGAAGTTCATCTGGAACTGGATCAGGCACTTCTTCAAGCGGTAGTGCTTCTTCTTTTGGTAGTCCAAGTGCATCAGCGAGTACTTCCCAAGGAGGAGCAAATTCATTTGGAAGTCCTACAAACACACAATCTGGGTCTTCAAGTGGAGGCAGCAGTTCAGGTGCCTCTGCATTTGGTACTCCTATGTCCGGAAGTAGCTCTAGCAGCGGAACATCACAGACTTCCGGTGGGACTTCGATGGCTGGATCTTTTGATCCTATTAAAACAAATGTCGAAACAACTCAGTCCGGATTCAATCCCTTAAGTCCAGTTTTAGGTATGCTGGAAATATCGATACTCTCACTTTACACTAAAGTTATTAAAATGAAAAAACGAAAATTTAATCACCGTTGCTCCATTTGGTCTAAAAAATATTTATTCTTCTTTTTTAATAGGAAAGGTACAAAACTTCATGGGACCCCAGGGTGGTTGTATGTATACCGTTTATCTGTATGTGTCCTAACAGTAATCACATACCTTCTGAATTCCTTTTGGAGACATACTCTAATTAGTATATAACTATTTTGCTATATTTAAGCATCTGGTGGCACGTTTGATCCTGGTGCAGTTAACACACAAATGGCAGTACAGGGTGCTAGTTTGAACATGTTCGGTGGTAAGTACATGTAGAATACACCCAAATACTAATGAACAGTGATAAAAGAACATAGTCTCTGAATGTATAGAATGTTTTATACCATCAGGCGCTGGAGGTCGGGATGCAAATAAAATGGATGCTAATTCATTAATGGGTGGAGCTCCTGGAATGATGGGTGGGGCGAATCAGGTCAACGGTGGGTCCAGTGGTGGTAGCGCCGGGGCAAACATGTTTAATCCAATGGGATCAATGATGAGCGGTTCATCCAGTGGCGCTGGTGGGACTTCCGGTCCAATGAATATGATGAATACAATGGGATCATCTGTAACAGGACGAACACTCAATTCGGGTGACGTAAAAACTTTTTTATGCTTAAAAAAACCAAACCAAACAAAACAAAAAATTTAAAGAATAATAGGGCATGAAATACTTATATCTTGACCACGTATTACACTTAATTAACAGGAGGTAGCTCCGTGTCATCTTCCAATCCCATGATGCCTGGTGGACTTCCACCAGGCGGAAATCCCCTGGATCCAATGGGGGCAATGTCTGGTAATGTTAACTGAATTATCAAATCTTCTCACAAAAACCTAGAAGGAGTGCTTTTGCTTTAACGCCATTGTATCATTAACCAAAAAATAACTTGCTTTGCATTGTGTTTCAAACGCTTTGTGTTCTCAAGTATTGGTTTTAAAGAAGTGGCTCGTAAAAAAAACAACATTCAATCATCGCATCGCTATGGAAAGCTAAAGGGTTCAATTTCTAAATTAAAATTCTATATCACTGTTCGCATTTTGTAAAGTCCACCTTACCTGAAATTTAAGGTGTTGGAATTTTCGAATTTTTGCTTTTTCTGAGAATAGGTTTTTTTCAAAATCATTAAAGCTTATATAGCCTCATTGAATTTAATTGAAGAGTATTAAAACCAAGTTAAGAAATGCTTGTTGGCATTTGTAATGTACTTGTCAATCATCAGCTTTCTATCCAAGTCTGTCTTTATGCTATTAGGTGGCGGGGACATTTCTAAGTTTTCTGGAGGTACCAGTCTCGTGGATCCGAAAGGATTTATGAATGGTAAAAATTATCGTTCTTTCTTTATCATCGAAGAGATGATTATTTTTTCTGAATTAAACATTTCCATTGAGTGGAAAAGTACATCCGTTTTATCATTTTTTTTTAAAGTGTTAGAAAAAAGGGTTATGGCAAACGATGATCAGGTAGCGTTTTGACATTAGCAACTGTAGAATTTAATAGAGAGAATTAACTTCATAGAAGGTCATATTTTTATATCCGAGAATTGCCAACCTATAATTATACCTTTACTCTACCAGACTGAAGCTAAAAATGTATTGTTAATTAAAGATTATTCCTATGATTGAGATAAGGGGACACGAGGGGGGGGGATAAATATATATATATATATATATATATATATATATATATATATATATATATATATATATATATATATGTGGAAGTTAGTAACCTTCAAACCTTGATTTTTTCACAGGAGGAGGATTAACCGGGACCCAGTCAAATCAGTTCTCAATGCTAGGTAAGCGCTTTTTATCTATTTTCATTTTTGCCTTACAAAATATTGTTCGAAAACGCATGTCTCATTAATTTTTTCCCATTTTTTTTAATACAGGAAAACGTGCAATTAGAGGTAATCTTTATTGTTTTTTCTAACGTTGATTGGAAGCCAAATGAGGAAAGTTTCGAAATGTATTGTGATAAAATTCCCCTGAAACTTATCAATTTGAGCAGAATTGCAAGATTTATTTAGAATCAAAAATATTTACCATCATGTGATTCTTAATTTTGCGAGGACCACCTACTTAGTTTTAGTTTAGTTTAAACCATTTATTTATTTTTAAAAATACAAGCATAGTTTTACAATACAGATATTACGTTCGGCTCACACACGATTCGGAAACAAGTTTCAAAAACTTAACTTTATTTGTCTGCCTGTAATTTATTGAAGTAGTGATTTCTTGCTGAGTAGCACAGAATAATACGGTTTAAAGAAGTTATAATTGCAAGAAAATAAGAATTTGAATACTGCGATACACGAATGCACTTTCACTTGATCGGTACTATTTCTTTAAAAATTAAATGTATTATTTTCATTTTTTAAAGGTGTGGTCAAGGTATGTTCATTTTTTTAATTTCATATGTTGAATTTTAATACATGTCCCTAAAATTTTCAACCGCACTAAAAATAAAATGATCTGAATTTCAGAGAGCAGAAGACAAATACGTGGACTTGTTCTTGTCGCTGTTGGATATTCTTGAGAAAATGTCAAGATGAATAGTCTGTTTTTCTTTTTATGTATATATAAAAAAACATAGTTCTATAACTTATTAGTTTATGTACATTGATTGCATGGCATAGGCGAATTAATCACTACAGAACTCCTGTCCAATTCCTGTACTAACAGTGATGGTATATTCATTTCCTTTCTGTATCGAAGATTGATAATATTTCAAGGGTATAGTTCATTACCATAATGCTGAAATATCTGAAAATATACTAAAACCTTTACGCTCTAAATATTTCTAAGCAAGTATGAAATTTTAACTCCAAACTAATAAATCATTTCAAAGGTGTGAAATTTATGTTTATGCCTAGAAATATTTGCGACAAGTGCCTGTAAAAACTAGAGGTACTGTAAGCAATGAGCTCACTAAATGATACCCCCGCTTCCCATTTCAATATAATGACAGTGTCCTTGTTTTGCTGTGGGAAACCCAAAATATGTGTCGGATGAAAAAATAAAATAGGAGGTGCACAATGGCAATATGTAATAAAGATTCTGTGTCATCAAATTTCATTCAGTGGTATGAAAGCAGTCTGAAAGGATAAGAGATGGGTATCCCAAAGCGTAACAGACGGACGGACGGACATACCGATTACTATATACCCTCCCGCTTTTCAAGCGGGGGGGGGGGGGTAAAAAAATGTTCATAGATTTTCCGAAATAAATTATATTACCTTTTCGTAGTATTCCCTTATTTTGTTTTCGAGGTACATGTAGGATGACACCCATGAATTCAATACCCCGATGAATTGTAGATTTTCAAATGTATAACGACTCAGTTCTCCTTCATTCACGAAATTAAATCCCCACTAGCCTATATATCTTTCTCATATCACGAAAATCTTACCCTTTCAGTTTGAAAATATGCGCAACAGATTTTTGAGGACAACAAGAGTCAAAACAATACATGAAACTCGATATTTAAAAATCATTGCTACGTCCATGAAATTCTAGATAAAATATGGAAATAATACACAGCAATCTTGCTTTTTAGTCCACTGAACCAATAAAAAGGAGGAGGAAGAGAGTGAATACGAACCTCCGGAAACTTCAGATTTTGGATCATGTGCCATGGAGGGCAAAAGATATTGCGAAATGTTGACTTTAAATGAGATCAACTTAACGGTACATTGACATCCTTTTTTCATCAAGTTTTTTAATTGTCAATAGTTTGTCTCGTTCTACAAAATGTTTGTATGTAGAACATGTTCTTGCTTATCGAATCAACTCCACATGATGATGTTATTTCTATATAAATATTAAATGGAAACTGACGATAGAAAAGTTGAAGTGAATGCGTTTTTCATAAATTTTTCTAATAAAAAATCTAAAAATTAAACAGAAGTGTAAGATTCTGTAGTATCTTTTATATCAAGTTCACCGGGATATAACTTAAAAAGAAAGGGATCTACAACTACTTTTCCCAGTCAAGCCAGTAAATTAATAAAAGAATCCCAAGAAGATGGTTTCATTTAATTTTATTTAAGTATTTCTGATTTAAATTAACGCCGATCCAAAGTCATGCGCTAAGGAACAAAATTGGCTTTTATGGCTCTTCGGAAGCTCAATCCTCTTCAAGCAAAGTTCCGCGTCATTTTTTAAGAGGAAAATATTTCACAACTTATATACCAATATTGCAAAATCCCAAAGCCTTTTCAGCTTTTGACAATAGAAAGGTAAATCTAAGACTGGTGCAGTTAGTGCATTTAAAAAAAAAAAAATCTTAATTATTAATCTTATCGTATTTATGTATCTGTTAAACTTAAAGAGCAAAAAATATTGAAGCTGGGAACAATTAATGAAGAAGCACAAAAATTTGTTTTATAAAAAGGTAAAAAGATTATATCATCAAATGGATAAAATACGTCCAGACTGATGGCGATCGAAGACGGACAATGAGATTACAGATATTATAATTTTGTTCCCTTCCTTGGAAGGGATTAGTGACCTGATAAAGAGGCAGGTGAAAGATAAATTATCCTTATGTACAATAAATGCTAACCGGAAAAAAATACGTCATGTAAAGGATGAACTTCCTGTTACATAATTTAACGGTAAAATATTGATACCTTAACGTTCTTTACTTTAATTTCGATCTAATTACTTGTAACCATGGCGGTTAAATTTGTGTTGATTGGACTGCTTTGTTTAAAGGTTTCGGAGGGTAAGTACGAAGATGTATTTTTGAGAGGTTGGAAAATACCTACAAATCGTACGTCTTCACTTAAATTCCTTCTATTTGTTGATTTAACTTACTTTTCCAAATATGAAAATAAAGTACAAATATAGGACAAGGCTGGGGGTCATGATGCAAAATGCTGATACCAAAAATGTCTTGTCAGAAGGAATATGCACAAAAGCTATGTGAAGGTTCTAGCACTAATAGTTAAAAAGTTAAAGCCAAGGTTAAAGTTTATTAAAATTTTGCAAAAGTAGGTCAAACTGCAAAGTCAAGAGGTCAAATATATTTGTACCCAGCGAAAGATCTTGACGACACACGGAATATATATGTAAAATATATATATACATGTATATAAATACATGTACCTACATGTAAAACTCTTTTTAGATTTTAACAGTAGGCGTTAAAATGTATTTCATATAAATCAATTTCAAATTCCAAAACAGGACTGCCTATGACCTATAACCCCGCCTTTTATAAGGGCCTGAATATACCAGATTATAACCCGAACAGCATTCCCTTTGTCAACTACAACCCTATGAAAGAACAAAAGCCGAGACCCTTCTCCGAGTTTCAGTCCATCACAACATCTGTTCCAGAGGCTCCTAAAATGAATGTGTTCGGTAACCCTGGAAATGCTGGCATCAAGTTCGATCCTAAAATAGTAACACCTTCACCATTCGACAATTTGAAGTTTGATCCAAATAACCGAAACTTTTTAAAAGGTTTCAATCCCAACTCTTTTGCAGACAAAGGTAAATTTTTCTGGCATTTGTTTTTACTTTTTTCACATTGTCAAATTTGTTTGAGATTAGATGCTACAATCTACCTTTCTTTTCTCAGTAGAGCCATTTCAGGTAGTGCAAGTAACAGAATCAACGGCCGGGCATGACTGGGACGGCGGATGGCCAGGTCTGTAGGTTATCCAACTAATATAGACGTTTCACTTAAGATATGGGATTGTAGTTCACAGATACAGAAACAATAAAAAGGTGGATGTACTCGTACACTCAGGCACTGCCAAATTTCACCATTTAAATCTAGAAAAATCAGGGTATAACAATCTAGAGTTAAAATACAGTACTATAATTGGAAACGAAAAATTCTTCTTAATATTATCGTGTACGTAAAACACAGATCACTATTGTTACAGATCACTAAACGGATACACCATGGAATAATATCCAAAGCTGCTGACATCTAGCTTAAAATTTCCCCGTTTTTATTACATTTTGCAGCTGGCAAAAGTAATGGAATGGTTCAAACAAAAGCAAACGAGAAAACAGAATCAGGAGCAAACTCCTCTGGAAACAGCGGAAAAAATGTCTTCGGTAGCTCAGGAAAATCCTGGGATGGAAGCTGGCCAGAGGGTAGTTAGAACGTCATATCACAACATAATACAGATAGTCCGCAGATAAATATTTCATTTCAAGCAAGCATGAAAATGATTGCATTTTAAAAATTGCAGGGGATGTAAAAGAATTTTCCTCAAAAGCTACAGAATCATGGAATTCAGCGGTAGGCGCCAAACAAGTCAATAAAAACTGGCAAGGTAACCGACCTCCCACGTACTTGAAACGATCTCGACTGAGTACTAATATTTTTTATATTAATAGTCTCATATTCTTTATCATTTCAGATAATTCAGGAGATTTCTCAAATAAAGCTACAGATTCATGGAACAAAGCACTGAATCAGGGTAAAAATCAAGGTAAATCAAAACAATCAGAACTCGTTTGACTATTCATTGAATAGTGCAAATTTGTGTGTCGGAAAAATTGAGATCATTGAACACAGATTTTTTTCCCCCGGAGAGTTGCATTTCTGCAGCTATTCATTGAATAGTTATACAAGGTATATTTCATTTCAAACGAGTATGTTATATTAAATTGCACGGGATATAAAAGAATATTTGCATCCACTGAATATTATTTATTTTTTCTCCAGAAAATATCAGATAAAAATATCGAACAGGGATACATTATTGCAGCTATTACACGGAATATATGGTTTTATATGTCCCAGATTCTTTATCATTTCAGATAATTCAGGAGATTTCTCAAATAAAGCTACAGATTCATGGAACGAAGCACTGAATCAGGATAAAAATAAAGGTAAATCGCATATTTAATATCATACATAAATATACTAAAATGATGTGGATACGTTGTACAAGATTTTGTATTCACACCAAACAAGCAAATACCGGTACGTGACAATATAATGATTACCCCAAATTACAACAATGCTTACATATGAGTCATCTTAATCTCAGCTGAGATTTGTCTGGATTTTGATAATCAGACTGGACAAGTCAGTGCAAATATCGAACAAGTAAAATTTAAGCTGAAATTTTCTGAGAACTTCTCTACATTGGAAGTGAAAAGGGTTTAAATGCATAATTTTTTTTTGACCAATTAAATGAAAAAAAAAACCTTGGTTCAATTGTTGTATAGCAAAATATTTGGAATGAAGTTTCATTGATGTAATAAGATGTGACATGAAAAATTATCGTCATTGGATTTCCAGCACATTGATACAAAAGTACCCCCTTGATTTTAATACTTTGTCTTCTATCGCTTTTAAAATACTAGTATAAAGAGGACATAAACAAGGACCCCTGCAAACTCCAGATTTGCCTTGGAATCAAGTGCTTAGGAACACTCCATGGTCAATTTCAGTCAAAAACAAAACAAAGGTCTGGCAATCTGCATGAAAAAAAAAGTCTGCCAAAATATGACCAATGATGGGTTATATCTCTTAACAAGGTCATAGTAATGACCATAGAATTTAAAGGAGATTGCTGAAATCTATGTAACATCAGCTTATAAAATGATGCCAAATGCCATGAACCGATGACCTTTTAGGTTTCCACTTGCTAAAACTTTCCAACAATGTACTCCTCATTCTATTTTCAGGAAACAAAAATGGACTGGAAGAAGTGGATGAGATCATTCAGAGCTTGATAGCGGCACTAGAAAAGCTGTATTCATAACTGATAAAAACCACAGTGTACAATAATGTAAAGTTAACACAATACTTATAATAATTTTAATTGTAATTTTGTATGTCATATGATTTTCATGTTCGATAGCATTCATTTCTGTTGTTCTTGACCAATGTTTTATGAGTATTTACAATGCAAAATTAAAATGATTTTCCTTGAAGCACTTGTTCATTACTTTCATAATCAGTCAAAATTTCACTCATTTCATCTTCTCGTTAACAAGGAAACATTTGTAATCATTTTATCACACATTTGAACCTAATGTATGAACATCACATACATTTACTGAATTACACCCTGATTTCATCTTGCATGATTCTTGATGGTATGTCTGTCAGTAAATTCAGTACATGAACCACAACCGCGATGTAGAACCTGGATTGTCTTGATGGAATGGAAGCCGAATAGAATTGGGGGACTGGGATCTATTCATACAGCACTGTGACAGTTGTGCTGGAATCAATCACATCATTTCATACACACTTTCCCGCTTTGGCACATAACTCTACACACACACAGTCTAATCACACAAGCATCATTTGACTAGTCCTAGTTTTTTGGCTTCTGTTTCGTACACCAGTAATCTCCACATTTTCACCACGAACACCTCCGCTTCCTCATCCAACACCTACAAAGAAACAAACATGATACAAATAAATAAACATGATATATAAACAAACCTAAATAAAGCAAACTCTATCAATGAACAAACGTAACAATTTAAGAAACACTGGTCTGTGTGAGAAAAAAATTTGTCGAATTATAGATAAAAAAAAAAAAAATTCATTACGACTTGGGGACACCTACCATTGCTACATCGTTGAGTATTGCTTGAGGACCACTTCTAGCCATGACTTTCTGACATATAAATTCTGTCAGTGTTGGTTCTTCCTCACCAATGTACTCAATGATCTTTTTGTTAACCCAAGGTTTAATCCTTTTATCCATAAGGACCTGAAAAATCATTATTGCATAAAAGTTATCTTTTGATCAGTATCTGTATATATTTATATAATTATTCTAGATTTTATCTACATGAAGAGAGAAATGTATACATGATAATTCTAATACCTCCTTTTGTTGTGTAATTTAATTGAACCCTGTATTAGCAGATTTTCAAGATTTTAATCATGTTAAAATATAGTCAAATTTCATTTCATTTTTTCAACCTCATCGAGACCAAGGGAAAAACCAAGATATTATGATTAAATAACACAAAGTAATAGTAGTGGGACTCCCAATATTCACTTTGACATATTAACGGTCTTCAAGATATCAGTGTTCGAAATATAACAGCTATACAATAATCATGACATGGAAACATCCTCCTACCTGATCCACGATATTCCAGTCCAGAGGATAAGCAAACAGTTCATCCTTGGCTGTGGGAATGCTCTCTATCAGCTGTTTGATTTTCACGCGTTTCTCCTCTGCAGTGGCTCCTCCCTTCTTCCCCTCCTTATCGTCATCGTAATCCAGGGGTACCAGTTTACGTTTTTTGGCACCTGATGAACTGTCTTCATCATCTTGGTTGAACACATCACCTACCGTCAATTTCTTTCTCTTGTTGGAGGTACTTTCAGTTGGACTACTACTACTACCTGCAATTTATCAATATACATGTGAATGCTGTGTAAAATAGCTAAAACAGTTCATTTCTTTAAAGTACCGTCCTACATTAGTCCCTAATTTCTCCTTTAAAGTCATGCTTTTACTAGATATCACAGAGAATTGAATCCCTACCTAGTTTCAGTCCCCCAAATCCTAACTTGGCATTCTCCTCCTTGGATGGGCCATACACAGGTTGGGAGTCCTCGTCAGGGGGTGGGAAGTTGCTGTCATTGTCCTCTGACATAGGCGTGACACTGTTGGACACATCAATGGGTCTCAGTGTGGACTTCATGTTGGGGGGTAACTGTGGTTTCTCTTCTTCCTCCTCCTCTGCCTCATCTGAGGAGTCTACAGGGATTGGTTCCTTCTGGATGACCGGGGACTTTTCTTCTGATATATTCAGACGAGGTTTCAGATGCTCTTCCCTCTCCAATTCAATCTGAAATGATGTCCATAAATTCTCTATTTTCCCCAAGAAAACTTTAAACATGCACCCTCATTTTAACACCGCAAGATAGATGTTTCACCATGACATTTTTTCTCACAATTTAAAGCTAGCTCAGAATAAAATATCTGAATGCTTCTAACTTAAAGGCCTCTATCTGTATCTTTTGAATGTTGTAATACATAAGAGCCACTAACCTTCATTAACTCGGCCTCTGGGTCAGGGTGCCCCTCGTCCAGTAACTTTCGTTTGATCTCCTCCAGTTCCTCCTTCTCTCTCTGTCTGTCTCGTGCATCTGCCTCTCTCTCCTTCTCTCTTTCTTTCAGTCTTCTGTTTAGACAGCTGCCTCTAAAGATTCACAAATAATTATTATCACTTATTGATAGGTGTATGTCATCAGAGTTTTCAATAAATACTGCTACTATGTACTATGTACTTTACCAACAATATGGTAAATCTTACTTGTAATATTTCACATCATCCCTTTCATCATCATAATCTTCAAGGAATTCCTTCAACCTCCGTGCCTCTCTGGCCTGAAATAAGGCACATAGTGAAAATCAAGCTTAAACACTCATTACGATAAGCAATAGTAATAACATGAACAGTGTAGAGAAAACTCTTTCGACATATGCCTGACTAACCTCTTCTGCTTTTCTTTCCTCTTCTCTTTCTCTTTCTTTCTCATACTCCCTTGCTTTCTTTCTTTCTCTGGCTTCCCAATTCTTCAGTCTCTGTTAACGACAAAAAAATTAATAGCATGGGAACAAGAAATGCTTTTATAGTTGAATAAAATGAACAGAACTTTGATATATAATTCCTTGAAATACAAATACAAAAGTGTGAAACCGACAGTCAGTGCTGAAAGTTATGATTTCACTTTGAACTTTAATCTCATAATCAACAAATTTATACTGCCAACTAATAAATCTTCTGATGGGTATTAAACTTGGCACCTACCTCTTGATATGCTGCTTCTTTTTCACGTAATTTCTTCTCCAATTTCCTCCTTTCATATGCTTCCTCTTCGTCCTCCGCATCTCTGTCACGTTCTTTCCTCCTTTCCCTACGAAATTTTTTTTTTATTAGAATCTAATTACCAAGTAATCACATTCCAATACTTTCATTCATATCAGGATTTTTTAATTGACTATAACTATTTTTATTCCTACACTTACTTTTCTCTTGACCTTGACCTCTCCCTCCACCTCTTAGGAGATCGTGACCTTGACCTTGTCCTACTTCTGATGCGTTCTCGTTCCCTTTCTCTTTCATAACGTTCCTTTTCCAGTTCTCTTTCCCGCTCCCTCTCTCTCTCCTTCATTCGTTCCCTCTCGCGTCTTCGTCGTTCCTCTGCGAGTCGGATTCTTTCTTCTCTTTCTTTGTCTTTCTCAGCATCTTTTTCTGCCTCGTCCTCTCCCTTCAAAAGAACAGCATAAAAGTTAATAAAATGTATCAGAACACAAAAGGATAACTAACTTGTAAATGGTAAAACCCTCTTCCAGACAAGTATTTCTCTAAAAATGTTTGTTTCTACTGATGAAACAGTGGTGTTCAATAAAACTATTTTTTATGCAATATTTTTTTCAACTTCGAACACCAACAAATAATTTTCATACATCATAAAAATGTAATGTGACCGAAGAAAATAAAAGGTATTTCTCTTGCTAATTACCTTAAAAAGCACACAGACTAGATAAAAAGTGTCTTGTCAGGTTTTCTTTCAAAAATATGCTCATGCACAATGTTGCAAAATGATTGCTGAAGTTAATTTTTAACAGACAACCAATTCACAACAAATGTCCTCCAAATCACTATGAACAAAGTCAAGCTACGTTTTCACATCACTACTTCTCTGATTGGAGATCCTCCTCAGCCATATTGGACTACTGTTTATCCTAATCCTTGTGAGAGCAATTCTGGCATGTTATTAATCAATCCTTAAGATAACGCTGCTGGCAACAAAAAGGTTTTATTGCATTAAACCCTAGTCATCCATTTACAATTTCACCCATGGATATATATTCTTTTTTAACAAGTCCAATAAAATCACCCTTAGTAATTTTGCTTTTGCATCATACAAAAAATCTTATTCATACTGGGTGAAATTCTGAATATCAATTTTTCACCCTGACATGGAGTTCAAACTGAATTAAATGATAACCCTTCGTATTTCTTAATGAGTTACAATACTTTATGCTTGTAAGTTCAGAACACAAAATCAGCTGAGAGTGATGTGAAAAAGCAAACCTTTAAAACATTTCAGATTATCAAATACTACCCATAAATCACATACTGTGTATATAAAACAGAGTAAATTTCACTTCAAGTAAAAATTGGCATGCATATCTAGCATGCTTAACTTTGAACTGGAAAGACAATAAGGGATGGGAATGAATATTAAGCCCCTCTTATAAATCTGTCCTCATAAAAACACTCTGAGAGCAGATGTTACAGTTTTTTTTTTTCTTTTGTGTAACTTACATGTCGTATTTCATCATATACATGTCACTGTAAAAAAGCTTTCTCCTGTTGGGGTGAAAAACCTACAAGAAAGCTCACAAGTAATCTGCTCTAGACCTGCTGAGCAGAATTAGGGGATTTAAGTCTGTAGTCCTTTGAGACAAAATAATTAATTCACAAGCAATAACAAAAGTACACATACATTAAATCTATCTCACTAACCTTCGGTCTGTGTCACGGTTATTATGGAAAGAGCTGAAAGAAAGTAAATTAGGGTCACTTACTTGAGGAAATATCTGTAGATGTACTTCATTTCCAGTAGTTTTTCAAAATATATCCCACTAGTTCCTATTTATAACCCACCTTCTTACTGCATACGAGAAACTACTCGCTATTAAGGGCTTTGAGCAATATAGACTTACACTTTACAAAGCAACTTCCCATCCCCTTTTTAGCCCCATTTCTAATTTTTTCTTAAGA